AAGCCTGTGCAATTGAGAGAGTCTGGTAAAGCACTTTCTGAAGCTTCTCCCAGGGGAGGGAGGGAACGAGCCAGAGTTGGTTTCCTGGCCAGGCTGCCTCGGTTGTATACAGGAGACAAAGGAAAGCCTTTCTTCCCTTCCACTGTGTAAGGCTTCTCCCTAAAAGGATGGAGGGAATGAAGGAGAGCTTGCTTTGCTGGACTGCCTCAATTGCACAGGAGAAATACCAAGCACCTTTAAGACCAACAAAGTTTTGTTCAAGGTATAAGCTTCTGTGTGCCTTGCTACAGTCTGTGTGTGTGTGTTTTGTTGGGCTCCTTATGCCAGGGCTCTCCTGGGTGCAACTGGGTTCCCTCTCCCTTTTCACTGAATTCATGCCCTCATGATCCAGTCTTCCTCAGTAAGAAAGCAATGTGAAGTATTTTAGAGGAGGAACAACAAGCCAGTGAGGTGGATTAGGCTGAGAGTGTGTGTCCAGACCAAGTTCACTCAGGACATTTCCTTTGTAGGAAGTGGTAGTTATTTCTCTGGGGAAGAGTACAGTTTTGTAGACAAACACATGACCCTCAGTCTGTGTCAGGATGCTTTCTCATGTTCTTGACCAGCACATGAAGCAACTTATTTACAAAAGCTTGCAATGCCCAGCCATTTCATGTTTTCCCCAGGGTCCTAGGCTCAGAACACTGAGCATGAGATTCCTGTAATGAACGTCAATAAATCAAAAGTAGGTTTGCAGCTTACAGATACACACCTGAACAACATACTCAGGATTGCTACAGCACAAACATTTTGATGCAATAATTCAGAGCAAGAGATGTCAGTTATCAGAGACTGTTAAATGTACAATATTGCAAGAGTGTTAGTGTTTTAAGCATGTTTTATTTAAAGTTTAAAAATCTTTAATTGTGTTTGGGTTCTTTATCTTTATAAAGTTTATATCTCTGCTACCTGGCATTACATTTTATGACGCACATGGCCTGGCCTCACTCTTTGGGCCTGCTCAGTAGTCAGCACAAAGGAGACTATTGATAGATTCAATAACAGTTGTCTATTACATCCAACTGGGGAGAACACTTATAGATGGAGAATACTAACACATTCTGGGAGACTGCAACCAACACACGTGTGCACACAGAGAACACAACCTAAGTGAGGTCCTTCCTATACAGGCCTTGAGGAGTAAGCCAGAAACTAGGTATACAAACACACATACATCACATCTCCTTACCACCCATTATGACTGGAAACATTACAATATTTATTTATTTATTTATTTAGCATTAAATATAATTTAGCATTAAAACTACAAAACAGGGACCACTTAGTGTAATAATAAGCCACAATACTGGATTGTTAAAATTATATCATCAATGATCTCAAACCTGGAAGAAGGATCACTGGAAATCACTGGGGCTTACTTGTAAGTAAAGGTGCTCAGGCCTAGAGTGTCAGGCCTAGTTTTAAATATTTACAAAATCAGACTAAAGGTCTTCCAGAATTAACAACAGTTTAAATAAAAGATTCTGGTAATTGAACATGGCCTGGGGTCTATGTTATCTGGGTTAGGGAAAGGTCCAGTGATGAAGACAGAGGATGAGGCCCATTGTTTGTTTATTTATATTTATTTATTTGATTTGTATCCTGCCATCCCTGGCAAGGCAGGCTCAGGGCTGCTTACACACAATAAGTTGAAACAACTAAAACAGAACTAAATAAAACCACAACAGTATAATAATAAAATATATCATAAAGTGCTAGTAGAATTCATAGATGATGGCGGCATTCACAGCATCAAAAACAGTCAGCTACCGTCATAGTCTGAGTTTTACCAGGCCATTGATCACAATGTTTAAGTTGGTGTTGGTATTGGGGCCAGGGCCTCAGTGTTGAAAGGGGCTGCTCCCTAATCGAAGACCTGGTGGAAGAGCTCCGTTTTACAAGCCCTGTTTCTGTTAAACCCAAAAGTGCAGCCCAACTATTTATGGCAAATTCAGCATGAATAAAACTTCTGAGGGGGAGAAAAAACAGACGAAATTAACTTAAAGTGCCTTTCAGTCCTTCTCCCACTGTTGGCCGTGCACATGTGGAAAACAGAAAAGCAGACTTTGTACTGACTGATAGCTCTGCAAGAATGTTGATTTATAATTGCATTTCAGTCTTGTTACGCTCTACAAGGCATGTGCAATGTTGGCCTCAGATTCTCTCTTGTTTTCTTGACAACTGGGCCACGAATAGAGATGTGAATGCCTGGGGGGGGAAGCATCCCCTATTTTTCCAACAGAAATGCTGGGAAAATTTTGAGGAGCACTAAAAAACCCAACAAAAACCCCTGACAAAATGCATGTTAGGGCAGATTTTCTTACTCAAAATGTATAGCATGATGTTTCTAAAGGAAAATAGTGAAATCTAAGAGAACCAGGCCCGTAGCTAACGTGGGGCCCACGGGGCTCAGCCTCCTCACATTTCTTCTGGGCCACCTCCCTCCTGGCCTGGCCCCAAAATGCCTCAACTGGCCACCTGCGCTGCACTGCCTCCAACCTGGCTGCCCAACAACTGAGCTCCTTCGGCTGCTTCCCCACTGGCCTTTCTCCACTACCAGCCTCAGAAATGCTTCAGCGGCAGCACCCCCAGCTGGGCCCTGGTGGCCAGCAACGTCCAGAACAGTGACGGCAGCAGTGGCAGCGACGGAGGCAGCTGCAGACCCAGGAGCAGGAAGTGCCTGGCTTGCCCGGCGGTGCAGTGGTGGTGGGCAGGTGGGAGGTCTTACTGGGCTAGCCTGGGTGGGTGGGCTGGGGAGAGCATCCTGTTGAGAGCTCCCGACTGGCTCTTCCTGCTCCCCCCCACCCTGGATCTTCCTCTCCCCTTCCCCGGCATTCCCCTCCTGGATGCTGCTGCCCTCCGCCCGCTTCACCCTGCCTAGCTTTGCAATGGAAAGTGACGCGGTGCTCTGGGGGAGGGTGGGCGGGCTTAGCACTGGTGCCTGGCAAGCATTGCAGGCTGGAGCGGGTCTAGGCTCTCAGGGATCCTTCTGTCTCTAGGAGAGAGAGGAGAAGTAGGAAGGCCTCCTATGGCCTGGGCATTGCTAAGGATCCCCCCCTTCCGCTTCCACTGCTGCTTCTGCAGCCATCATCACTCCTGTCGCGTGCCGACAGTGAGCATCCAACCAATCACCAGCTATGTTTTCTCCATGCGCTTACCGGGGAGAGAGAGAAACTGTGAATGCTGGGCATTACCCCCCCACACACACTTGCTCTGGAACTTTTGATTAAATTAGCTACCGCCTCCCCGTGGCACCCTCCTAAAAAAGCCCCTAGCTGGAGAGAACACTGGAAAAAAAACTTATGATTTTGTATGTTGCACACAGATACACTTTTCCAGCATTTTTTCTTTAAATGTAAATATTTTGGCAACAATTAATATGAAACAATTCATTTAATGATAATGTAACATTAAAAAGTTCAGCATTTTCAATACTATAAAGTTTCACTTAATATCCAAATATGCTTGGTAGTCCTTATTGTGACTGTATGAGAGCATTTCCATCCAAATAATACACTTTACATGATTTATTTTCTATCTTCAACTTTTAATTTTTTTTCCTACCCTCAGATCAGATAACAAAAATTAAGAGATGTGTGCTATGGTAACATAATGTGCAACAATTTGTAACTCTCTCAAATATTGGGTAAATTTACCAGTTTTCTTATCCGGTTATAAGTATGCTTACCAAAAAACAAGTGCTTGATGATTTATTTCAGTGGGTCTTCGCTTCTGCTCGGACATATTATTAACCAGGTTGCATGATGCCAGTAGCTGATCCCTATGCAGCAATTGCGCACTCCTAAGTCCACACAGGATCGTGCTACAAGCAGCCACTCACTCCTTAACTTGAACCAGACACTCCCACAGCTGGAGGGAGCTCTACTGCACACAACTTCCTACGCGACAGCGGGAGAGGAGGCTGTGCTCGGCTGTTGCTACTTCTGGTGACGTAAACGCGCACGGTTCCTATTGCTTTTTTGATTGGCTGAGGCACAGGGCTCAGTGGCCGTTCCTCGCTCGTAATTGGCTGACGGGGCCAAGGTATTGGGATGCTGTGGTGGTTATGCCGGACGGGGGCAGCGCAGTTATTGTCTGAAGGCTTTGGGCCCTCGGCGCGGCCTGAGAGCCGGTGGACGCTAGCCGGACGGCCCTTTAATTCGCCTCGCGGCATTCGCTAGTTCGGGCCCGTCTCGACCGGGCGGGTGAAAAGGCAACTGCTTTTTCAGCTGCCGGCCGGCGAAGTCCTCAAGCCGGGCTCGTCTACGCCGCCGCCCAACGTTGCCTTTAGACAACGACACCGGAACCGTACAGGGTGGTTGTTTCCCCCCTCCCCCGCGTTGTAGCAGCTGGATTAAATCGACTGCGTATTCTTGGATCCGCACGGACCGATTTTTCCTAATCGTTCTCCTCAGGCGCCAAACTCCTTTTGATGTTTTAATTTTAATTTTTTTTTAAAAAAAGCCGAGCATGCAATAAAACGTTTGTAGTAGCCCTGAGCGCGAGCTTGGAGGGGAGGGAGCCCTTTGCGCGCGTGTGTGACCGTGCGCGCGCGCTGTAGAACGCTTGCCGGGGGGGGTCTGGTTGGTTGCGTGTGAGCGCGCGACGGCGTGAGAGGGGGAGCCGCAGCTCGCTGTGAATGGGGGCGCGCGCGGCACAGTGAAGAGGTGGTGGTGGTGGGGAGTGGGGGTCGCTTCGTTGTGTATGGATGTGCGCGCGCATTAGCGTGAGGGGAACCTCTGCCCCCACTTGAGTGAGTGGATGGGTGGGTGCGCGAGCTGGGTGGGTAGAGATTTCCCCCCCCCTCCTGTGGCAGCAAAGCGGCTCCCCCTCCTTTTAAAAGAAAATCTGTGGTGCATGAAGAGAAGGGTGTGAGAGTCCATCTGCAACGCTCGGTCGGCCCGGCACGTTTTTTTAAAAAAAGAAAAAGTCGTTTTATATTTATAACTATTTATACTGAGGCGACGGCCAGAAAATGGCAAAATCGGGAGGAGAGGTGGCGGCGGAGGAGGAGGCGGTGGTGGCGGCGGCGGCGGAGGAGGCGGCGGCAGCGGGGGTCTAACCTGGGTGGTAAGTTGCCTCGTATTTCCTCACATTTCTCCCTCTTCCCCGATGTTGCTTTCTTGAACAGGCCTGAGCCTGGGAGGAGAGGCGGAAGGCCTCGGGGGAATAATGGAGGAGCAGCAGCAGCAGAGATGCTCGTTTGGGGTGGAGGATGGGGATGCAGGAAGACGGCCAGCTTCTCTGGAGAAATGCTGGGGTTTGCTGTGGCGCTGACATTCCGGAAAAGGCGTGAAGGCGCATTCGGGGAGGGGGGAGGGAGATGTTGGGGCTTTGGTGGCATGTGGGGATGCCTAGAACTTGGAGACAGTGGCCTTGGTCCTTCAGGTTGAAAGGGGGCGTGCATCCCCCGGTGTTGGCGGCTCTTCCTCTTAGGGATGTGTTGGGTTGCCAGCTGAAGGCACAGGGTTCTGGATCTGACTCGGTCAGTTTCTCCTAGATAGAAAAGAATGCTGCCCCCCCCTTTAGACAAATTTAAAGGCCCCTTAGTTTTGTTTCTAGCCCTGCACTAAAGTGAAAGGGAACTTAATATAGCTGTCTGCTTTGCAGCTCAACTGGAAATAAGGCTGATTAGCTTTGTGAAAGCTGGTGGCTTGACTTTTCTGTGGCTCAATTTCCACATCTCATGCAAAGGGGGTAAAAGGGAGGAAATCCTTCTAGCTTTTCTGGAGTTCACTATAAAAAATAACTAGACCAATCTGGGCTTTTGTGGTTGGGGCTGTCTTGCAGAGGTTCTTTTACTGTTACGATGAGAGTACTTGAGATGCTGTTCTAGCTAGTTGAAAGAAATGCTTTTTTTCTTCTGTAAAAATCTCAGGAGGGAGGAAAAAGTTGAATGGGTACAGTTCTGGTGGCCAATCACTATTCTACTTCTATTTCTCCTGTTCAGCACAGAGTTCAGATTAGGGTCACTTTCTTAATGTAACTGGCAAGAAAAAGCACTGCACCATGGTAGTAAACTAGCAGGTTCTCCCTCAGATTCATGTTCTAATAATAGACACTACTCCGATTTTATTTTGCCCCTCTTTCTTGGAAAAGTCAGCCTGCATTATATTCCAGTTTTCTGTTGAAAAGAGTCTTGGCTTGCCAGTTCTTTTCTAAAAATTGGCAACTTTGTCTAATCCTGGAAGAGTCCTATAATATGCATCGTTGTTTTTAATGAGGACAGCAGCACTTCAGCATAAAGGACACCGGAGTAACATGGAATACTTTTCCGTTCAAAGCGCGCAAGTTCAACACAAGCACCAAGTTGCATATTCTTTTTCTGTTGGTCTTTGTGTAGGTGCACAAAGAAAACCCCAACCTGGTTTGTCAGACTGTAGACTGGGCCACATAAGTAAATCTGTGGGCCAGGGAAGGACTTCATTCAACTGGCCGTCTAGAGCCCATCTCATGAGTAGGTCCACTTAAGGGTACATAAACCAGCTTGCCATTTGAAACTAGGCTGCAAGCTCTTAAAAGATTTGCTTGCAGGTAAGTGCCCACAACTTGCTGTTTCCAGCTGCAAGTGCTCTTAACAGTGTTTGTCCAGGCACTGTGGGAGCTCATTAACTCCTTAAGAAACAACTTGAAAGTGAGACCATAATGAGAGACTCACTTAGGATGTGTTGATTGTAGCAATTGTTCCTGATATTCTGAGACATAATCTGACTGTGCCTGGTACATATACACTGAAATCTGGTAACTTTTTTCTCACAAGTGTAACTTTGTGGCTGCAGTCAAAACAACCTTTCCATTTGTGCTAGATTAGCAGTTCAGAGTTATGTCTTCTGTGATGTACCAAATGTATAGCCTGCTTAATTTTTTAAAAATCCAATGTTTTATGGTGCCAGAACAAGCATCAAACCTCTAATCAAATAACTAATATTCAGTTGCTTTTCCAGTCTTGTTATTCACAATCTCATATAGTTGCTCAACAATATTTGTACTAAAATTGTGACTCAGTGTAGACTGAATCTACTAATGAATGGAAACGATACCCATTCAACTTTCTTCTTCCACTTGGAGCCTTTCCAGAAGGAAAATGGATTTCTTTCAGCAGAACAGAAAAGCATCTCACATTCACTAATCTTCTGAAAGATCTCTGAATATTTTCTTATAGGACACAGTTGATCAGTATTATTCTAGTCTTCCCTTACCACTAAATCTTGTACAATTATATTATTGGGATGTTATCTGTAAAGCAGTGCAGCTGTATCTTCTGTTTTTCTTGTGTATAGTGGTTATGTAATTAGTATAATTTTAACTCAGTAAACAAATAGGTGAATGACCTTATTTTTGAAATGTTGATATATGCTTTTTTTGGTGCTATCACGTAGAAAAATAGACAAAATCATTTATACATTCTAGCCAAACCTAGGCTAAGTCTTATTGATTTTGATAGGAGAGTTACATGTCTCCCATTGAAATCAATATGGTAAATATGTTCTTAACTTTGGTTAGGTTACGCTCCAATAGTGCAATCTAAAGGAAACTTAGAACCTTTTAAGAACTGAAGGATGTAACTCTTTAGGATTGCCCTATAAATTTCTCAGCTCCAAAAGATGTATCAGTTTGAAAATATGGAACAGATGTCTGCAAGAGAGTTCAGCATACATGTCTCTAAGTGTTCATTCATGGTCCCCCTCTTTTTTGTTGCTATTCTGTGTCTTCTGCCAAAAGTTTGCCCCTTTTGTCCCTGGCTGAATTTAACAGTAATTCTTAATATTAGATTCAGAACAAATTATGTTAATTTTGCAGTTTCTGTAAATCTATATCGTGTACAAATTTTCAGAAATATCATTTGGATTCTTTTGAGTATAAGCATGCGGTAAATTCTTTGGAATACCACTGTGATGGACTTCACTTTTAAAAGCTTAGAAGTACTGTGTAAATAGATAAAGGACTGTGAAGGGTTAATTCCTCACAGAGCCAGAGAGCCAGAAGTGACAGGCTGCTCCAAGCAGTCTGATTGGTTAGCATCAGCTGAGCAGAGGAAGACTTCTGAACTGGATGCTGAGGAGAATTCAGTTTGAATTCAGCCCTAGCTGAGAAGAGTTGAGTACTGAAAGTTTTGGAATTCAGCCCTAAGAGCAGTTTTAACACAGACAGGAGAACTGGGGAATGGTGGCAAGAACAAGTGGGTAGTTAGATGGAGATTCCTATTTGGGCCAAAGAAAGGGATATATCTTCTAATGAGAGGAGATTTGCCCTGCCCAGTCACACAGGGAGTTAGGTCTGAATAGTGCTTTACTGTAAGAGTGATTCAGGTGGGTAGCCATGTTGGTCTGAAGCAGCAGAACAAAGTTTGAGTCCAGTGGCACCTTTTAAGACCAACAAAGTGTAATTAAAGGTATAAGCTTTAGTGTGCAAGCACACTTCTTCAGATATCTGAATAATAGATATATTTAATAGATATTTGAAGAAATGTGCTTGCACACTAAAGCTTATACCTTGAATTAAACCTTGTTGGTCTTAAAAGGTGCCACTGGACTCAAATTTTGTTTTACTGTAATAAATAAAACGAAAACAGGAGACTATTTCTCACATGCCCTGAGGTGGACATCCAAAACTAGCCTTATATCTCAGAAGTTAAGCAGGCTCAGCCATAATTAGTACTTGGATGGGACCAGCACTATAGTCTAGAGTTACTATGCAGAGGCAAGCAGTGATAAACCACCTGTGAACATCTCTTAACTTGAAATCTCTATGGAGCTGCCATAAGTCTGCTGTGACTTACCCCCCCCCAAAAAAAAAGTTCAGTGGAGAGGGGTACTAATTTTACATATATCAAATTTACAAGTTCTGTTCAGCTTGCTCACAACAGGTTGTGTTTGAAATTAGGTATACCCTAGCTTAGCATGCATCTACAATATGGAAACATTCAGGCATTGCAGGCTTGGCCCATATTGCTTCTTAAAAATGAAGTGTTTGATACTTCAGACTTCTGATTTAAAAATGCAGTTCCCATTGTACTTGGCAGGAGCAAGCTTGATAAAACATTTATCTGAGTATGTGTCTGAAATTCTGTGCAGAGTTGTTCCAGTCTAAACCTGCATAAATATGATCAGGCTACTCTAGTCTAAACTAATTGAAATAACTGATTTTAGCTAGAATAGCTGCGTACAGTTGCACTGTTAGTATCTTTGAGGTTTGAGATGTATGTGAGATATAGAGCCTTACACACATGGGGCAAAGGCGATTTTAATCCCCATTATTCCTAACATCTGAAGATCTGGTTTCTTCTTGAACACCCATTGACCTCTATGTCAAACATAAGCTTGTATGCATGAAACCTCTAAGGCCATTTCCCTCCTTTCAAATACACTAATCAATGAGGTAATATGAGAATGTTCAGTAAATATGTTCAGTGCTTGTTCTAGTTCAGTTGTATTCCAAAATATATACAAATAGGCTGTGACACCCAAATTCAAACTCTCCTACAATGACACTTTAGAGTTCTGGAAATTTAATTGTACGCACAGTGGCACTATTTTATACTTTCCAAACTGTTGCTGTTCAGATTCCATAGCTAGTCACCTGTGGCCTCATTATGTGCAACAAAATTAAATCGGTTCTGTTCCTGCAGGCCTGTGACCTGTTTGGCTTCAGAGTCATATATTTATATGACAATAAAAGGTATACAGGTGATGATTATTGGCTATGAAGTATGAATACCATATTTCAAAGATTGGCATTTAATAGATAGACTGAATTCATGAAGGTTGATGATATAGCAAATTCCACTGTATAAATGATTTTTATTTTTACCTTACCAAGGTATCATAACATTTAAAAATCATAGCAATGGTAAAATAAGATCAGAACAAAATAACAGAAAAGGAATGTAACAAATCTGTAAGTAATAAGAAGCAGAGCATAATAAAAACTCAAACTCAGCTGTAGCAAGAAGAAAGAACACACAAGTTCATGCACCAAGTGATCCCCAGAATGTAGCTGTAGGATTTGTAAATTTGATCTGTTGTGTACCTGTAGTTCAAAGGCCCCCTGCCCCTCTTGCAACTTATTTTTAGAACGTTTTCATAGGCAACTAGCAGCAGAAAAAGTGTTTTGCATAGCATTTTTAAAATTTGATTTTAAATATTAAAAAGATGTAATCCTTTCTGTGGAGGCCTTGAGGTACCCAAGGGCAGTCCTAGAGATGGTGGAGCTGTGGGTGAAAGTGTGTTAGGGGCCCTACCTCTGCAAAGGAGGGAGGGAGAAAGAACCCACCTGACAGATGGGCAGCTGTGGGGCATGGATGGCCTGGGCTGCATGGGCAGCTGTACTACTTTTCTTTTTACACTGCTTGGGTCTGACAGTCTTCAGTGACAGCCCTGTATAGAGTCCCTCACAGCAGTAAAATGTAGAAGTTAAAACTGGGAGGAGGCAGCCTGTCTTATCAGATGCAACTAGTAAAGGTTGCTCCTCCCTACTGCTGCCACTTGCTTGCCAGATAGCAAAACCCCTGGCTGCAAACCAGCCTGTGACCTGTTTTACATATGGGAGTGGTATGAAGCAATAATGCCAGAAAGCACAGCAGAGATGTTGCAATAGCTTGGTACAAATGAGGTATACCTTGTAAGTGTTTCCTGCCAACCCTGTATATTTTCTATGTGACTTACTGAGAACTGGAGAAATGGTGTTTTAAAATGCCTGGTCTATGTTCAGAGTATTTTTGTAGTTCTGCAATGTAGCCTATGATTTCCAAACTATATATCTAATTTAAATGCAGCAATGGGTGCATGAAAATGCCAGCAACAGAGTTAAGCTATTTGCTTGTATGTGCTTCACAGTGGATGTTTGCAAGATCAGGTCATAATATCATGTCCTGAAAGATCTACTTCCCACTCTTTTGACAAATAAGAACATAAGAGAAGCCATGTTGAATCAGGCCAGTGGCCCATCCAGTCCAACACTCTGTGTCACACAGTGGCCAAAACCCAGGTGCCATCAGGAGGTCCATCAAGCTATTTACCATAGTGTTCATCTGTACCTTGCAGCTAATTGTTGCTTTCTAGCCTAAACATTTCCCAAGTTGTGTAATTTAGAACTTAATATGTCAACTTCATCATATTGGCAATATCACAGATCTTGTAAAGCTATTTACTACTTTCTGTTCTGTGATCTTTAAAAAATTTTTCCTGATTTTGTTATTAATTCCAGTTATTTGCTGAGCATAGTGGGTGAACTCTAAAGAACCCCACTCTAGTTGAACGTGTAGGAGGCTTTGGGCTTCTGTTTCTTGAACTGCAGCCTTCCTTGTCTAGATGAACTGCTTTTTGAGATTGAAGGGCATATCAAAATCAGTTTGTGATAAGGTGCAGGGAGTTTCATTAGTTGTGGGGGGGGGGAGTTCCACAGTAGTTCTTTTAAGTTTTGCTTAGAGTTGTAAGATTATGTATGACAAATCTGATAGGGACGTATAATTATTGTCATGGGACAGATAATTTCTTATCTAGTTTATAAAAACAATATGAGGACAGGTCTACCATATTGCAACAGTCTACTTCTGTATGTTTCTTACAGAATGCATCTTACAAAATAATGAACCTGGGATCCATACATGTTTGAAGTGCGGTTTACAAAGCTGCAGTGGCTTTAATTTGTTGAGTAAAACTATTTTATAGTTGTAAATTATTATATATTTGTGTTCAATGGATCTGGGTAATTGAACTATTCTTCCTTTTTAATTTCAGACACTATTTGATAATCAGAACAATGCTTCAAAAAAAGAAGAACCTGAACATTTTAACAAAAACGATTCAAAGAAGATGTCTGTTGAGAGAGTTTATCAGAAAAAGACTCAACTTGAGCATATACTTCTCCGTCCTGATACATATATTGGTTCAGTGGAACCTGTAACTCAGGTACATTTCAGTATTTCTCTTGATTAAGTTGAGGTATTGCTATTATTTTCACAGAAAAATACCAAGCTCTCTGATGACAGAAGAGATTTCCGTCAGCAAGGCTTCCTTGTTTGCCCTCTCCTACTGCAGCCCGATAGGACCCCCCAAGTGCTTCTTGGGGATCCCCAGGAACAGCATGAAAAAGGGCAATCAGAGATCTTAATTGGTCCTGTTCCTGATGTTGTTCAGCATCTAGACGTGCCCCCTAGCTTGTCAGGAGGTTTGGTATAAGTTGCCATCAGTATGCTGATGTCACCCAGCTCTTCCTCCTACTGGATAAACAACCAGAAGTGGCACTCTCCTCTCTGACCCAGTGCCTGGATGCCATGGTTGAATGGTTGAGGCAGAGCTGGTTGAAACACTCCATCCAAGACTGAAGTCAAGTGGCTAGGTAAGACTGGGCCAATGGGCAGATTGCAGCTCTCATTGATGGGACTCTATGAAGAGACCAGGGGTCTGGCTGGATGCCTCTCTTACTTTAGACAAGCAGGTGCCCACAGCTGCAAAGCAGGCTTTCCCCCCTATCTACGGCAGGTCCATCAGATGGCCCCTAATCTGCCTCAGCTGGCCCTGGCCACAGTCACCTCCAAAATAGACTATTGCAATTCACTCTATGCAGGGCTGCCCTTGAAGGCTCTTCGGAGACTTCAGGTTTTCCAAAATGCAGCTGCCAGGCTTCTGACTGGAACATCTCGATCTTCACATATACAGCCTGTCTTGAAACAGCTGCATTGGCTGCCTGTTGGTTTCTGGGTCAAATTCAAGGAGCTGGTTTTGACTTTTAAAGCCTTAAATGGTCTGGGACTGTCATACCTGAGGGGCTGCCTCTCCCTTTACAACTCCCCTCAGCAACCGTGGTCATCATCTCACGACAACTGGTGGTGCTGGGGCCTCAGGTCACATGTTTGGTGTCCACCAGGGCAAGAGCTTTTTCAGTTGTGGTCCCATCCTGGTGGAACGCCCTCTCAGATGAGACCTGGACCCTGCAGGGTGTCTCTAGATTCTGCAGGGCCTGTAAGGCTGAGCTTTTCTGTCAGGCCTTCCCTGGTTAAGTGTATTTTTGAAGTTTACTGCTGGATCCACCACTATCGATTGTAAATTTTTTGCTTTTTATACTTTGTATTTTATACTGCTTTACTATATTTATTACCTTTGTTTTTATAGAACTGAACTACTCGAAGCCCCACTTTGTGGGGAAGGGATGGTGTATAAATTGAAATAATAAATAGAATAGAATAGAATGGGGAGAGGGGAGTTGGCGAAAATATCCGCCTCTGTTAGTGGCAGTTTTCCATAGGATCCAAACCTATATTTGTACTTATTACTAAATGCTAGGCTGAAAGGTTCTCCCCCGCCCCCATTTATATTTACATAAAATGACACAGATAAATACACGGTGCTCTGGATTGAAAAGAAATATGTTTCTGAAAATTGTAAAGTAATAGCAGTAAATATTTATTTAACATTCAGAAAAGTGTAATTTTATTTTCATATAGCTGATGTGGGTGTTTGATGAAGATATAGGGATGAACTGTAGAGAAGTTACCTTTGTTCCTGGCTTATACAAGATCTTTGATGAAATTCTTGGTGAGTATTTTAATTTTAATTTTGTATTTTAATAATGTCTTTGGTCAATTGCAAAGTGCTTAAAATGGAAGAATATAGATAACCATTGGGCCAGTGTAGAATACCAACTAGCCATTAGTTATAGCTGAGGGATTGGGTGGGATTGCGTGTTTCTTCACATGAAGCTGCTTTATACTGAATCAGGGCTTTGGTCCATCAGAGTTAGTATTGTCTACTCAGACAGGCAGGGGCTGTCCAGGTTCTCAAGCAGAGGTCTTTCACATCACCTGTTGCCAGATCCTTTAACTGGAGATACCAGGGATTGAACTGGGGACCTTCTGCCTTGGCTGTTATGCTCTTGCTTGTGGATTGCTTTCTTCCAACACTCACTTTGCTTAACCATAATTTTAACTTTAGCTGGTTAACCCAGCAGTTGTAAAAATTTATACTGGATTGGAAGTATATACGGTGCAGAGCAAATCATGGTTAACTTACCATGGCTGTAGCCATTTACTTAAATCATGGTTAAAGGTGGAAGTGAGTGAATAGTGCGCAGTCCCATTCCAATGGCAAATACTCTTTCAGAGTATGTCTGAAACCACTAGAATAGTGTAGCGTGTAGTCTTTGGGTTCACATTTTGTATGATCCAGAAGCATAGAGAGCACAATAATTCCGCAGTGGAACTGAGTCAACAAAATTTACTACGCCATAAAATATTATACCAGCAATACCTCCATATTATATCTCTTACCTAAGAGGGGAAAATGTCAATTTTTGTAAAGATTCCCTCCCTGGTTATCTCGAGTTTGTTTACTCACCATAGGTGATCACTGTTCTCTTATTTACAAGCATACTGTAATTTTATAGGGGAATCTGATTTAGTAGTGCTTAGGCAAAATAGTACTACTGTGTCACCAACATCATAGTCTGCAGTACAACTTTATTATGCTTCTTTCATGTTAACCATCAATTCATGTTTGTTTAAAATATTCAAGGGATATTATTTCATATCAAAGAACTAGAAAAGCATTGACCTGGTGTGTAGTCTAATTGTCTGCATACTTGGCTTTCAGGAAACTAAAATAACTTAAATCTAATGGTAACAGATTTTCCTACATCCCTTTATTTCTGCTCAGGAGGATTTTGGATTGAGGTATCTATGAACATATCCTGTGACAAGAAATAGTCCTATGAGACATGGAAATGATATTGTTTAGGTTTTAATTTGTTAGGAGGAATTTGTGGTTTTCTGTCTGTGTACTCTCCCTGAATCTTAGTTCTAAATGGCTGTGTCCTTTATTTGTGCCATTCCACAATGCTGCACTGTGTGCTACTCCTAACAAGAATGATTACCCTTCCCCCCCCCCAACAGAGCTTCTGAATCTTTAATATCTGTATGTTTGTTAGACATTCTGTGAGTTTTCCCTAGCATGGAGATGCATTAAAAGGAAAAAGTGTTGTATGTTAAATTTACATGTGATGCAGCTATCACAGTAGCCTTGCCAGAATGGCAGTGTCGTCTAAGCAGAGTTACACCCCTCTGTCCATTGACTTCAGGGGACTTAGAGGGGTATAACTCTAATTAGCTTTTTTAAAAAATGCATTTTGAAATATTAAAAAACCTGACATTATTGTTCTGAAACAGCAATGTTATCACTTTTTTCTTCATTGAAGACAGGCATTTCTTCGGAGCAGTACACCTGCCTACACGTCATTAGGGATTTCCCATTATAAGAGCATTGGTAGCATTGTAGAGGTGGTACATTGTGTAGGTTGAGCATCCCTTTTGTCTAATGTTAAAATGTTACTTTTGTTGTTCGTATTTAAGTATAAATTATAAATAATTTAGCTCACTCCTGTGATTCTATTTAGGGGTACTTTATTTAATGTTTTTTGTAATTGGAACATGATCGGGGCAAGAAGCTTTCCTGGGGTAAGGAATGAAGGGGAATATATTGTGTGTGAAGCCCTGTCAAAGTGAAGACTTCATATATATGTAATTGTAGCAGCCCCTTTAAATCAGTGAAAGAGTCCTGTTCTGTATACACAACAGAACCTTCAGTTTGAAAATAAAACTTATGTTTCTAGGACAGTAAGAGAGGTTTTTCATAACATTGAATTACTGTTTAATGAGAATTTTGAGTGTATATGTTGGTGGGAACTGGATAGAATAAAGTGATCTGGCCAAATATTGGGTTGGATCCAACACAGCATTTCTGTAGCTGCAAGGAATTCTTCCAATGGAGTGTGACCTTTGGGGCTCTTCGCTGCAGTGGCAGCCCAAAATGCCCCAAGGCAGAGGATTAGGGGGAAATAAAATTATTTAATCAACAGTCAGTTAATGTTCTCTGAAATGTAGTTAGGTATTTTTTAACTCCTTGCAGTCTCTCTGGAATGACAGGCCAAAAAAAGTAGTCAGAACATCCTTTGGAAAGATATTTAGAAGTATGGGGGCTCTTGGAGTGAAGTAATGAGCTGTCTCTCTCATTGAAGCCAATCACATGTGATTTGTTGGAACCATCAAGAGAACTTCATTAGCAGATGTGTGCTGATGAATGAGCGTATATAGGTAGAGATGGTCTTACAATTATGTGAAGGGCTTTCTAAAAGAAAACCAGCAACTTATATTGAGTTAAGAAGTGTGTAAGTAGCCAGTGAAGCTCTTCTAAAACTGGCTTAATGTACTCATAGCATTACAAGTTTCAAGGATACCTTCAAGGAATGTCACATGTAAAGCATATTAAAAATGAGAGATGCATTGATCAGCAGTCTAAAACAGTAGCTTATACACTGTATCTAAAAATGTTTTTTGACACCATGTTAATCTTTTACTTCAAGAATAAAGCTGAATCAAGGAGGTTAAAGTAAACAGGCTTCTGCTGGTTCACTCTTAGGCCTCCATTCATGGGAGCAGCATAATTTATGGTTTTAAGAACATAAGAGAAGCCAGTGCTGGATCAGGCCAATGGCTCATCCAGTCCAACACTCTGTGTCACTGAGTGGCAAAAACCCAGGTGCCATCAGGAGATCCATCAGTGGGGCCAGAACTCCAGAAGCCCTCCTACTGTTGCTCCCCAAGTACCAAGAATATTGAGCACCACTGCCCCAAGACATAGTGTTTCTATACCTTGTGGCTAATAGCTACTGATGGACCTCTGCTCCATATGTTTACCAAGTCCCCTCTTGAAGCTGTCTGTTCCAGTAGCTGCCACCACTTTTTGCAGCAGTGAATTCCACATGTTAATTACTCTTCGGGTGAAGAAGTACTTCTTTTTATATGTTCTAAGATTACTGCTCATTAATTTCATTGAGTGCCCATTATTTCTTGTATTGTGAGAAATGGAGAAAGGTACTTCTTTCTCTACCTTTTCTATCCCATGCATAATTTTGTAAACCTATATCATGTCACCCCTCAGTTGTTGTTTCTCCAAGCTAAAGAGCCCTAACCTCTTTAACCTTTCTTCATAGGGAAGATGTTCCATCCCCTTAATTATTTTAGTTGCCCTTTTCTGCACCTTTTCCAATGCTATAATAACTTTTTTAAGGTGTGGTGTGACCACAACTGTACACGGTATTCCAAATGAGGCAGCACCATAACTTTATACAGGGGCATTATAATATTGGCTGATTTGTTTTCAGTCCCCTTTCTAATAATCTCAAGTACAGTATTTGCCTTTTTTATTGCAGTCACACATTGAGTCAACATCTTCAGTGAGTTATCTACCACGACTCCAAGATATCTCTCCTGGTCAGTTACCACCAGTTCGGACCCCATGGACGTGTATAGTTAGAATTTTTGGTTCCAATGTGTGTTACTTTGCACATGCCCATATTGAACCTCTTTTGCCACATTGATGTCAACTTGCCCAGTCTCGACAGATCTCTCTGGAGCACCTCATAGTCCTCCCTAGTTCACACTGCCCTGAACAACATAGTGTCATCAGCAGACATAGCCACTTCACTGCTTACGCCCAACTCCAAATAATTAATGAACAAATTAAAGAGCATGAGACCTAGAACTGAGCCCTGTGGTACCCCACTGCTGACCATCTTCCACTGTGAAAACTGCCCATTTGTACGCTCTGTTTCCTGTTAACCAGTTTTTAATCCACAAGAGGACTTGTCCTCCTATTCCATGACTGCTGAGTTTACTTTAGAGCCTTTGTTGAGGAACTTTATAAAAGGCTTTCTGGAAGTTTAGGTAAACAACATCTCCTGGAGATAGATCAAGATGGGTAGCTGTGTTAGTCTGTCTGTAGCAGTAGAAAAGAGCAAGAGTCCAGTTGCACATTAAAGACTAACACAATTTGTGGCAGGTTATGAGCAGTGACTCATGAAAGCTCATACCCTCCCACAAATTTTGTTACACGTCTGCTGGGTCACCCTTGTCCACATGTTCGTTTATCCCCTCAGAGAACTCTAAAGTGTCAGTGAGACAAGACCTTTCCTTACTGATTCCATGCTGATTCTTCCTCAATAGCTTTTGTTCTATCAGTGATCCTACTAATTCTACCTTTAATAAGGGATTCCACCAACTTACTCGCTATCGACATTAGACTGACCTGCCTGTGATTTCCAGGATCTCCCGTGGAACCTTTTTTTTAAAGATGGGGGTTATATTAGCCACCTTCCAGTCCTCGGAAAGACTTTCAGTAGTCTTGGGATTTACACAATCGGGATTGTCAAAAACTATCAGTATGTCTTGAGTTCATGCTTCATACATGATGGTATCTTATGTGTATGCAAATGTTGGAGAGACTCATGCATATTCAAAAAAATGACACAAACATAAAGTGTGAAGTATATGTTAGTCATAGTTTATGTTAGTGACAAAAAATCCCAGTGTAAATTTGATGTCAGATTATTAGGAAAAATAAATAAGACTGTAATATACAAGGGAAATACATCCCATTCTGTAATCTGGAAACATCTGTTCAAAGAAGTATAGTGTGTTAAAGTTTCTCACAAGTGTATTTGTGATAAGTGTATACAATATTTAGAATTATAAATATTTATTGATGCTAACAAGTGTTAATTCATTTCTAGTAAACGCAGCTGACAATAAACAGAGGGATAAGAATATGACATGTATTAAAATATCAATTGATCCGTAAGTAATCTACTTTTCTACTTAAGAAATTAAAATTTGGGGCATTTTAAAATTTTGCAATATGATATATTAAATTAAATTCTACTTTTAAAATCTGACGTGATTTATAATAGCACAGGATGGAAACTGTTATAAATGGTGGAGGATTTATTATGATAAAAAGTGGAGTTCATTAAAAAGAACGGTATAGTCAAAAGGTGGAGCTTTTAATTTGAGGTACACCCCAACATACGGAGGTGAACATGTTTCATGGTTATGATGTAACATAAGTACTTTTAATTAGATACCTTAATTGACTACATTCAGACTTTCAAAGATATCACATTTTGACAGTAGCCTACTCCTATGTGCCTGTTTTCCTTTCTTTTAGAATTTTAATAATAAGTTGTCAGATGAATTAGTTGTTTGTTGTCTGATTGTGCCATTTCACATTTACACAGAAATAACATAAGGTTTTCTATGGTATATGCTCAACAGAAAACTGTAGATAGTTATGGCTTCCTGAAGAGGGTGCTGTTTGACATGTGTATTTGAAACTACATGTTGAATTTGATTGTTATACTTTGATCATGCACTTGTATTACAAAAAAGTGTAATGTGAGTGCTATTTGATTGCCTTTTTAATGTCAGTTCCTGGGCTTTTTCTGTAGGGGTACTTTCACAAGAAACTTTTTTGTCAGTTCTATAGTTATCTTCAATTTTTCCTTGGGAGCAAAGTTTTAGTCCAGTGGCACCTTTAAGACCAACACAGTTTTATTCAAGGTATGAGCTTTTGTGTGCACACACACACTTCCTCAGGTACTGTGAAACTGAACTTATCAGTCCGTACATATAGGCAGAGGTTGAGCAGTGAAAATCAGCATACAACATAATGAAGATATTTATCAAAATCAGGAATAACAAGCGTAGGCCCCGGTCACACGAACTGGATAACGCAGGGGGGAGGCGTGGCTATTTGTGGCGCTGCAATTTAATGCGCCATAACGCGATCCCACGCATCGGCGGCATGCCACGGTACCTTCCCTCCGCGTTAATGAGGAGCCAGAGGGAAAAGCGGCGCACCAGCGTGATCACACTGACCCATTCCGGAGGCATCCCGTGGCAAACCGGTTGCTACTACCTTCGACCAGGTATTTTTTAACTCCGCATTTTCGGTAGTATGCCACGGGTTGGCCACGGTTGCACTCCACTTCCCAGATGTTGCGATGTGATCGCGGCCGGAAAATCCGCCATTCACTCGTCGCTCTCCCGCAGCAAATCCTCTGTGTGAATGGGGCCTTGGTTTGATTTATATGGTTACCATTTTTTAACAGATGCAAAAACCAAACAGATATAACAAGTTAAGTCCACATGGTCATCATTTATTTGGATTCAGTTCTGTGGGAAAACACAGAGGGGCAAATAAATGTCGAACTTGGAGACTGATGTGTGAACGTATCCTTCATAGTTGTGGAATACTAAGATCAAATAACTGAGTCCCTGTTGCTGTGCTACATTTCTCTCCTCTCAAGTATGGAGGTAACAAACAGGAGGTGGGGTGAATGGTTGTGTAGTGTAATGTTTCCTCTGTCAGAGAAATACATTCCAGTTTTCATTGCATTACATTACTATTCTAAATAAGAAATATACTAAAATAAAGAGGATGTATAGCCCTTCTTGGTGAGAATACATGTCTAAGGGCTGAATTAGTTTAGCATATATAGTGAGATAAGAAGCCAATACCCTTGTTAAGTCCTGGGGGGAGGGGGTTGTTCTGAGTGTTGTAATAACTTGTAATTCTGCAGTGTCCCATTCCAGTCTGTTCTTGAAGTTCCTTTGTAATAAAACAGCTACTTTGAGGTCATCCATTGAATGCTCTGGAAGGCTGAAGTGTTCTCCTACAGGTTTATCAGTCTTGTGATTCTTGGTGTTGGATTTGTGTCCATTTATTATTTGGCGTAGGGTTTGACCTGTTTGCCCTATGTAGAGAACCGAAGGGCATTGTTGGCATTTAATGGCATATGCAGTGTTAGAAGGTGAGCATGTGAAGAAGCCTAAAATGGTGTAGCTGATGTTATTAGGTCCAGTGATTGTGTTGTCTGGGTGTATGTAGCAGCAAAGTTGGCATCTGGGTTTATTGCAAGCTCTGGTTGTATGCTAATTTACTGCTCAACCTCTGCCTATATGTTTGTACAGGTAAGTTCCATTTCACTGTATCTGAGGAAGTGTGTGCACACAAAAGCTCATACCTTGAATAATAGTTTGTTAGTCTTAAGGGTGCCACTGGACTCAAACTGTGTTCTACTGCTTCGAACCAACGTGGTTGCCCACTGGATCTATTTTCCTTGGGAATTCACTGTTGCTGGCTGTTACATATACATTGGTTACCTGATGATGTGATACATATAACCAGTGAGGTTTAGCAGATAATTTGTGTGGAATATCTGATTTGGATCCAGTGGGAATTTCTACTAACGAAAGGTGAGGCAGTTCTCCCATCCCACTATAGGCACCAACTTCCCACTCATGCTGCTCCTGGGGTGTTCTCTGTCCCTCAGGAGCTGTATTTCAGGCTGCAGCAGGAGAGGGAAGGTCATCTCCACTCATGGAAATCCCCTCCATCACTGGTGGTCTTCTGTGGGATTGAACCCTTGGTTCATTAACCAGCAGTTGTTTCCCATAGTGCTTGGTGCACCCTTGAATAGAAACTGTAGATTTTCCATTTAGTAACTTTAGGACTATTGAAATGTTGTAAGCTTTTGTAGCCAGGTGCATTTTTAAAGGCTGTTTCGTGTCTCTGCTTGTTAATTTTCTCCTAGCTTTCAGCAAACGATGCAAAATTGAATTATTCAAGAGGGTTTTTCTTTGCCAGCAATAAGGTAGCACTGTCCAAACCGATTCACAGTTTCCTGGAAAATTACTAGGGACTGTGGTCTATACTACTGTATATGGTTTGTTGTAAGTTGGATCCTACTGTGTCATTTTGCATCATTTAATGCACTTTGCTTTGGTTCTGTTTTTTAGATTTCTTGTTAGTTCTACAACCCAAATCCTATTTCATTGTTTATTGAATGTCCCACCCTGTTGATTGTATTGACTTACTCTATGTAATCCGCCTTGAGTCCCAGTGAGAAAGGTGAACTATAAATAATGTAAATAAAAACAAATAAAAATAATTATTTGTTAATGAGGCTTAGTGGCAAAAATAGGACAAATTATAGGACAAAAATAGGACACATATAACAAATAAACATTTCTCACACTATTTAGCTTTGGTATTTTTCTGAATTAATCTTTGCCTTCGTTTTTCCTGATATGAGAACAGAAGAAAATATTCAAGAGTGAATTACAAATTATTATATTATATTAATCAAATTAAATAGGTTGCATTTAAGAGTGTGTTGTGAATTTTTCTGTTAAGTCTGAAGTGTGAGAAATAAAATCTGTACTTTAGGCTGTGGGTTGCACCACGTCTAATCCCTGTAATTGAAGTCAATCCACCTTTCTATAACTCATCATGGATCATTTGGGCTGCACTCACATAAGTGAATTATTTGTTTTTCTGTAACTGAGGTGTACCTTGAAAGAGGCTCCTGCTAGCTGTGTATATGCTGAATAGTGCACTTTCAATCTACTTTCAGTGCACTTTGCAACTGGATTTTTCTGTACGAAACAGTAAAACCCATTTGCAAACAATCATTAACGTGCATTGAAAGTGCATTATTCAGTGTGTGTGAAAGCTTTCTAAGCAGAAATAGCTTATTGCACATGTGAATGTGTTCAAAAGAACACTCATAAGTTTTGGTATGATGGTATAAAGATCCTTTATTGTGATGATAATTTCCAACAGAGAAATAGTGTATACAAGCAGATTAAAAAATGATTTTTTTTCAGAAGCCATTGTCCTCTCTGCACTGAGGACTGCTTCCTGGGGAATGTTTAAGATTGTGCTTATTCTCTTTACCCTGGTATTAGTTGGACTGCCTGTAATTCATATTTGTGTTTTTTCCAACTTTTACTTTTGGAGACTTTGTATGTTAACCTGTCGTTGGTGAACAGCATGTTGCAGAGAAATACTCTCTCATTATGATAAAGAAGGCTTACTGTGGCAGGCAAACTTTTTAAAGGCAACTTGTTCCGCTATTGCTGTTCTTATTGAAGATCTCCTAATAGTTTCTAGTGGTCCCCAAGGAGTCCCCAGAATATAGACTGAAACCCCTGCATTACTCACTAAAATGAGATAGACTGTATATTTGCAATTCTGTTGTCAGTATCTACCTTATAACTTCCTGTATACCTTTTAAACAAAATATTTGTTACTTTCAGTGAATCAAATATTATAAGTATCTGGAATAATGGGAAAGGCATTCCAGTTGTGGAACATAAGGTAGAAAAGATGTATGTTCCTGCTTTAATCTTTGGACAGCTGTTAACCTCCAGCAATTATGACGATGATGAGAAGAAAGTTACAGGTGAAATAATTTGTTCTGGAAAAATTAAAATTAGCTGTCTTGCAATGATTCCTTTATGACATTTGTGTTGCTTGGTGTTTTGCTTTACAGCATGCCGTATGGGTGATAGTGGTCCATAGAGAAAAGTTCAGCCGTGTATGATTCAAGGGTTAAAAAAAGATTCAGCTGGGTTAAAAAATGGTTAGAGGAATACTTAAGGTGTGTTGTCATGTTCCCTAGAGTTTTGTAACACTGATGTATCCATTATCTACAAGGATTTATTTTTTTCTCAAAATTGCTTTCTGCATGTACATGCTGTAAAGGACTGTCTGTTCATAGTAGCCTGTTCGCACTGTTATTCAGAAGGATCAGGAATGATTTTGGTTGGATCCCCCTGGTAGGTTGCATTGATGAAGACCAGATTGAAGGTTGTCATGCAAGAAACTTTGGCCAGACCTAATAATAACCTCCAAGACAAAAATGTAAAGTGAACAAAGCTTCAGATGCAGTTTTGAAAAGAAGCTCAGATTTTCTTAAATTGATACAGTGTTTGAGGGCTTTCATCTTCAGAAGAGAAACCCACTTATATGTACCTATTGTTTTAGCTTTGTCTCAGTTTTGGTTCTTCAAATATTTCGCCATTATGTATTATTTTAGTATTAAAAATATGTATAATTACATGGGGAATTTTAGATGAGTCTGAAGCAGTAATTGATATCATTATTAAACATTTTCAGTCACTGAATGTCAAAAAGCAGTAATTGCTGTTGCAGTCAGTTAAATCCCATTTCAGCAAACCTGTGCTAATTCAGACTTTGATCATGCATGGGAACATTTTGAATCATTCTATTTAATCCTTGGTGCTACATTAAACTATGATAAGAGGATTGATGAGAGTTTTCCCCCTAAATGATATCCAATAGTAAAATAGCATTACTGTTTAGTTTTGCTATTCAGCCATTCATTTAGGCAATCTTGGCCTTTCCCAATCAGCCATTTTGACATTTTCTGTTTGAGACTCATCATAACGGACAGAATTATGTCCTTTAAGCATTATCAATCCCTTCCTGTTCTACCTGTATTAAATAATTAGGCTGACCTAATGTCAGTGTGATGCACTTTTATTGGAAGCAAGCCCTGTTGGCGTGTTGGCCCATTGTAGAGTTGCCAATTCCAGGTGGGAAATTCCTGGAGATTTGGGGGGTGGATCCTAAGCTGGGTGGAGTTTGCGGAGGGGAGTGAGCTTAGTAGGGATGTGATGCCACAGAGTGCACCCTCCAGAGCTACCATTTCCCCCCAGAAAAACTGATCTCTGTAGCATGGAGATCAATTGTAATTCCAGGAGAACTCCAGCCCTCACCTGTTGGTTGGCAACCCTAGCCCATTAAGACTTGGCGTCTTCCTAGTCAGGCAGACTGAAAGCTAACTGGAAAAACTTGATCTGTAGTATCTTGCTCTAACTATTTTATGTTAGACTAACTTCTGAATATTATCAGAGTGCAAATTAAGCATTTTATTTTCAAAGTTTATACATTTAGCCAATTTGGTTTGGGAGTGAGGTGTCATTTCACCACTCATAATGCTTATTTGTTTTTCCAGGTGGCCGTAATGGCTATGGTGCAAAACTTTGTAATATATTCAGTACAAAGTTTACAGTTGAAACGGCTTGCAAGGAATACAAGCATAGTTTTAAACAGGTATGCTGGTTTCCCTTGAATTCCTTTTGCCTCTGTTATTTGGCTGAGAAACAGTTTTAAATGTTTATGTATTCAGTAGTAAGTTGTTGTGAAGGTATCAGTTCGCAAAATAATGTTTTGGGTGCTTTTGTACCTTAAAGATAATTTCCTTGGTTGGAAAAGTAGCTAATTGAATTCTGTACAAAGGTACAACTTATATGATCCTTGTTAATTGTCTTAGCTCTAGTTGAAAGCCCAACATCTTTACAAAAGCAGTTATGACGAAAAACCTAATTTTCCATTTCATTAAATTTCTGGTCAGGGTGCAGGCAATTTGATCTATGTTTTTGCAAAGAGGTGGATAACCTGGTTTAGTTCTAAGTGCCTGGATAGAGGGAAATGTTTGTAATTTTCAGTGCTGTCATTTCTCTATCTCTTGTTATAAATAGAGCATATCTGTTTCCAGTCACAGGCCATCTGTCATGAGCAAATTTCCCCCCTAAAAGATGCCAGTATAAATACATGGCAGGGTGGGACTGAAGCCTCTTCTAAACTCTGAAAATTTTAATGAACACATTTTATATATTTGGAAATTTCCAAGAAAAATTTGTGAAGAAAAACTGTTTTGAAATTCACTTGAAGGCTCCTGATTTTACTATATCATTAGTGTAGAGCTGACAGACTTTAAGCAGTTGCCTAGTTTATGAGTTTATGATCGATTATAGCAGCGTTACACAACCAGATTATCCTGTAGTAGATACCTTTTAATTATTTCATGGAGAGTTTTATTTATTTAATTCATTTAATTAAGTCCCAATGGGGACCCGAGGCAGCTTGGATCATTCTCCTTCATTTTATCCTTACAACAGTTCTGTGAGGCAGATTAGGCTGAGTATGTGTGACTGGCCCAGGGTCACCCAGTGAGCTGCTTCTTCTTTTTTTTTTTAAGCCCCCGGAGGGGATTTTTTATTGATTTTTTATCACTACAAAAAACTACAACAGAAAAAGGGAGGGGGAAACTACACATACGGGAGAAAGTAAAGTACCCACTACTATCTAAAAACCCAAGAGAGGAGATCCTCCAACTAGCTTTTATACATCCAGTCTTTTCATCTTTTTTTTATGAACTGTGTCAAACTTTTAAAACTTTTTACCCTCCCAGTTTACATTTAACTGCCCAATAACAGTACCCCCAATCATCCCCAGGAACCAAAGTTCTCAAAGGCACAATTCAGAGTCCTTCAGCCTTTACTTCTTCTTCTCTCTTCTCTTCCACAACTTGTAGGGACTTTTCGGGGCTGCTGCCCCCTGCTCAGACAAAGAGTCCTCACCAGATGAACCAGTTTCCGGCTCGCCACTGGACCTGTTGTCCTCTTCTTTTTTCTCGTCCTCTGACCTTCCCAGCTGTTCCTTTAGAAATTCTTGAGCTTTCGGAACAGTCAATCTTTTCCTTCTTCTCTTTAATCTTAAATGTTATGCCTTCTGGAAATAGCCATTTGTATCCAATAGAATTTGTTTGGAGAAAGAGCTTCCATGGCACGAGTGGGGGATTTGAACGTGGCTCACCGAGATACTAGTATACCACTACTAAACCACTACACCACACTGTTTAAACTCACCATGTTAATTCTTTACACATCATTTGTAAAAGTTGAGCAAAAACTGAATAATTAAGACAGTTTTCCTCAAAGGTTATACTTGTAAACTATATATTTGCTATGTCCTTTTATACAATACTTGTTTTAGAATACAGAAAAAAATGTTGCTGATATGTATCTCTTTTTCCCCACAAAGACTTGGATGAACAATATGATAAAGACATCTGATGCCAAGATTAAGCATTTTGAAGGAGATGATTACACATGTGTGACATTCCAACCAGATCTTGCTAAATTTAAGATGGACAAACTTGACAAAGATATTGTGGCCCTCATGACAAGAAGAGCCTATGATTTGGCAGGAGCATGCAAAGGGGTCAAAGTTTTGTTTAATGGAAAGAAGCTACCTGTAAGAGGCTTAATTAAAATATTTCTGCAATTGAATATGTATGTTTTAAAACCAATAATAAACAATACAAATTTTTGTTAAATCATTTTTATTTTTGTTGAATCAAGGTGAATGGCTTCCGTAGTTATGTTGATCTCTATGTCAAAGATAAGCTGGATGAAACTGGAGTTGCCCTGAAAGTTATCCATGAACTTGCAAATGAACGGTGGGATGTATGTCTTACTTTAAGTGAAAAAGGATTTCAGCAAATCAGCTTTGTGAACAGTATTGCTACCACAAAGGTGAGTTGTTTTAGTGCCTTAGAGTCAGTGGAAGACTAAAAAAATGTAATTATAGTTAAGAAATATAAACATTTCACACTCTGTTGTTTTTCTTTTCATTTTTTTAACCTTAAGGGTGGTAGGCACGTTGATTATGTTGTGGATCAAATTGTTGGAAAATTGATAGAAGTGGTGAAGAAGAAGAACAAAGCTGGTGTTTCAGTGAAACCATTCCAGGCAAGTCAGTCTTCATGTTTCAAAGAATTTCTAGAAACAAAAATCAGTCTATCATTTAAATAACTTTAATTGTTTTAACCAGGTAAAGAATCACATATGGGTTTTTATTAATTGTCTCATTGAAAACCCAACTTTCGATTCTCAAACAAAAGAAAACATGACACTTCAGCCTAAAAGCTTTGGGTCCAAATGCCAGCTATCAGAGAAGTTTTTCAAAGCCGTAAGTATTGCATATTGCTTTATTGTCGCATATGTTTATGAAAAATATATACGGAATGGGCCTGTTTGCATTGTGGAAAGATGACTTGTTCCAGTTGTTCCTTGTGCACAAAACTTAGAATGTTGCTGTTAGTAGCAAGTTTTCTACATTGTAGGATGTGCCTTGTAGGGTTCCACAGGGTTCAATCTTGTCCCGTATACTATTCAATCTCTATGTGAAGCCCTGAGGGGAAATCGTTTGTGATTTTTAATAGGTTACCATCAATATTCTGATGACTCCTCACTCTATACTTTCCTTTATCCATATCTCCTAGTGCTGCTGTGAAGTCTCAAACCAATGCCTGACTGCTATAGTTGAATGGCTAAGGCTAAACAAGCCGAAAATGAATCCTGACAAGACAGAGTTAACATTGATTGGCAAGGCTGAGGCACTGAAGGACATGGGGTGCTCCACTTTTGATGGGGTCTAATTGTCCAGAATCAGCCAGGGGGTAATTCTGAATCCAGCTTTATTGCTGGAGAGGCAAGCTGATGCAACTGCAAAAAGGGTGTTCTACCAACTCCACTTAGCTTGGAAGATGGCCCTCTACCTTGACCTGGCTTTGTGGATCCATGCAATGGTTGCCTTGAGGCCAGACCACTGTAATACACTCTACGTGGGTCTGCCCTTAATACAGCTTGGAAATTACAGTTGGTATAGAACACTGCAGCTTGGCTATTATTGGGTGTTAAGTAGAATCTGCTTATTGCTCCCATTCTGCAGACATGCCATAGTTTATCAGAATTGTTCAGGAGGACATTCATTATAGAGGAGCAGAGCTGTAAAATAACGGTTTTGATATGGTTTTGATATTGTTTAACTCCGCTTCAGCTTGGAAGTTGACCTTTGTTAGGGATACTATGTCTTTCCAAGTTCTTCAATCCCAGCACCACTGCTTTAGATTATTTTACTAGGAATCTTTGCTGCTGGACTCAAATGTTGTCCTGTTTTGTAAACCTCTTGCTGATTGACTAAATGGTTTTATTTCATTAGGAATCTTTGCTTTATTTTAGTTAAAACATTTTTCCAACACCAACTAGTTGCCATAGAATTTTACTTTGTATCGCTAAATGTAATAATTTAGTCGTAGGCACCCTAATATCAAGGACAGGATGTTTCCTTGCAGGCACTGACTAGGATTCAAAATTACTTCTTGTGTGCTCAAGACCTTGGATGTGCCCTGTAGGACAGTAGATTTGACTCCTCCCCCCCTTCAAACAGCTGATACCTATGCAATGTGACCAGCTACAGTACTTTGATGGAACCTTCCGTTTCAAAAACGGTTTGCCGTGTGGCGTGGAAGAAGATAGCATGGTGCTCAGGATATACAGGCTCACTGCTCCTTGGGCACACAGAGCGAATCACATGGTTCTTTTCATTCTAGTCTATATGATCTTTATTTTTTAAACAAAACAAGAATATCGATGATGGGAAGAACAACAAAGGTTGCAGTGTTATTTTTCTGATTCAGTAGTAGTAGGGAAAAAGTGGATTCTGATCTTTTAAGTACATTATTCTACTTTATCTGGGTGACACTTTTTGTTTTAATATTCCCAAATATGGTGTCATCTTTGATTATTTTATTTTTCTTATAGGCCTCTAACTGTGGTATTGTAGAGAGTATCTTGAATTGGGTGAAATTCAAGGCACAGACTCAGTTGAACAAAAAATGTTCATCAGTGAAACACAGCAAAATCAAGGGAATTCCCAAACTTGATGATGCGAATGATGCTGGTAAGAAGTAACCATTTTCTCTCCTAACTGTCAAATGCAGCTTATTTTTTCCTGTGAGACAAAAAAATTCTGGAAATATGTGTGTGTTAAAATCTTTAAATACATATATATTTTACAGAGAGAATTTCCTGAAATTGTTTTTCAAAATAGGTACTTTTCATGATAGATTTCCCTCCCAAATAATACTGTTTTGTTTGTGTTTGCATGCAAGTTGCACACAGCAATGCGAAGGCAAGCCTCTTTTCTACATAATGGTTGCCAGTTATACTAGACAAACAAGAGTAATCTGTGTTTATCTGAAAATGTAACTCATACTGAATATGTACTTACTGCCTTTTTGACTGAGTTGATCTTCTTTAAAATGGGCCAACTTCTTTTTATATATTTTTTTTTATACTGTTAGATACAGTTAACATTACAGATTGCTCTAATTTTATTTCTCTTTTCCTTTCCTTCCCCACCCCTTTTCAGGTGGAAAACATTCCTTGGATTGTACCTTGATTTTAACTGAGGGAGACTCAGCCAAATCTTTAGCTGTCTCTGGCTTAGGTGTCATTGGAAGAGACAGATACGGGGTTTTCCCACTCAGGGGTAAAATTCTTAATGTTCGGGAAGCATCTCACAAACAGGTAAAGAACAGCAGTTGAAGGCTTAATGGATAGCTGATTATTAGGGTTGCCAGCTCTGAACTGTGAAATTCCTGGAGATTATGGGGAGTGGAGCTTGAGGAGACCGAGGCTTTTGGGGGGGAGAGAGGCCTCAGTGGGGCTTGATGCTGTGGAGCCCACCTTCCAAAGCGGCCCTTTTCTCCAGGTGAGCGGATCTCTTTTATCTGAAGACCAGCTGTAATCCCAGGAGATCTCCAGCCACCACCCGGAGGCTGTATCCATATAAAGACACTCCGTGGATGAATTATGAACACAAGCAAAAAGATTATGTTGCACAAAACAATTCAAGCAGTTTTAAATCTTCGTTAAAGTTCAACAATCCCTTATATAGTCTTAAAGAGCTAGGATCAAAAAGTACTTGATACAAAGGGAAAACTCAAATGAAGTCCACAAATCCTTTGTATAAAAAACTTCAGGAGAGCAAAGGTTCTATGTCTTGTATGAGCAGCAGCTATACACGGCTGGCTTCACTGCCGCGTTCACGTTTTGCTTCTTCAGATAGATCCACTATATTACAACATATTTACTACATCCCCAGTTGTCAGCACATACATAGTCACTGAAATAAAGTTTCAACAATTCTCCTTCAGCTAGTTTCCCATTCACTCCACTGACAGGTTCTCTTTCTGTCCATTAGGCAGAGATTTAAAACTGTTCAAATTGTTTTTTACAATATGATCTTTCTGCTTTTGTTCGTAATTCATTCACGGAGTGTTTTTATATTGATACAATCTCCTCCCGTGAACTCTCATTTTGATATACCACCCAGAGGCTGGCAACCCTATCAATGCTCCCTCTAAGCTGTGGAGTCTTTAGAGCAAAAATTCTGCTTTGTCAGCTACTGGCATTGAAGTTGTGAGTGAGCAATTTGGCTGCTGCATAAATTAGTTTGCTCTGGAGCCATTGTTCCTAAGCAAAGGCAAAAATGTGTGAGCCGGAGGCTAAAGAACAATGAGCCAGCTCACACTAACTCAGCTTAGAGGGAACACTGCTACTGATTATATATATACACACACACGCATGCTAAGCTGTTGCTTGTCTGTTTTATCCAGATCATGGAAAATGCAGAAATTAACAACATCATAAAAATAGTAGGTTTGCAATACAAGAAAAGTTATGAAGATCCAGAGTCTTTGAAAACACTGAGATATGGAAAGCTTATGATCATGACAGATCAGGTCAGTGAAGATGTGAAATTCAAACACACAAAAAATGTTTGTTTGTTGGATTGTAATACTCCTTTTAACTAACTGCAGAAAGAGATTGATTCAAGACAGAAAAGATCTCCTTTGGACATTTGGATTCATATTGTGCGGTGAAATTCTGCAACTAAATGTGGAAGTTTATTTTTTAATGTGGAACGTGCAAAGAAATTTTGTTCAGATGCCTCTCATTTGGGGAATTAAACATTTTGTTCTTATTTTTAAAACTGTTACGTCATATTTTCAGGGTCATCTATCAGTTCTGTAGTCATTTCCATTATTTTTAGTGGGAAATACATCCTCACTTATAATTCTTTACCTCAAATGAGGATGAAATTTTCAGGTATTGTACCCTTCATCTAGGGAAGCATTGTCAGTTGTTCCTTGTTCTGTGTGCAGTAAAAGGCACAACATTTCCAGCCCTGCCATCCAAATGGGCTGAAATTCCCTGGGATTGTAGCCTTCACTGGTGTGATCCTGTCTGCCAAATTGCAAACAGAGAAAATAATGTCTTCCCGATTTTATAGGCTATTAAATATTCTGTGGCAGGGTAGGCACATGGAGACTTGGGGATATCCATCCTTTTGCACTTCAAGGGATGTGGGTAGGGGTAATAAAACTTGCCCATGCACACAAACCATGTGTTAGCTTCCCCTCCCCCCCCATGTTTCTATCGACTGTGAGTAACCCCAGCCATTCAAGATCCAATGGGGTGGGGTGAATTTTTTTAATGCAGGATCAGCCATCACCACCCACCAGCATGCCAACCTTTCTATCACACAGTGAATACAAACCTCTTTTCCCCAAAATGGCAGGCAAGATCCAAGCTTCCAGGGGGAGGGTGTATGTGGACTTAGGCTTAGGTGGCAAAACTCTTTTCTCTGTGTCTTCTGCATTTTGTTACACTGCCCTAGACTTCAAGCATTGCTTTTTCTCACTCCTGTTAATACCCTAAAGAGGCCAGGCTTGCTGCCACGAGGGCCAGGTCCTTTTCGGTGGTGGCTCCTACCTGGTGGAATGAGCTCCCGGAAGAGATCAGGGCCCTGCAGGACCTCTTACAGTTCCGCAGGGCCTGCAAGACGGAGCTCTTCCGCCAGGCTTTTGAGTAGGAGCGATCGCCGCCACTACCACCACCGTGTAACTGCAGTGCAGTATCGCTGGGTTGGGCCGTTTGGTCATCTAGAACATTGTGGCCCATGGCGCCCCTCCCCCCTTTTCTGACCCCTTCCTGATATGCAATGGGGAGTGTGTATTATAGTCTCTCATGTATCCTGTTTGTTGTGAATTTTAGTCTTAACTGTTTTAACCCGTTTTATCGCTATTGCATTTTGTGCCTATGTAAGCCCCCCTGAGCCCACGTGCGGGGAGGGCGGGGGTATAAATGAAATAAAATAAATAAATAAATAAATCTGGATTGGCTTAGGCAAGCAGTACTTTGGGGAATATAAAATGGGAGCCCACACTGAACTTATAACCCAATAATGTGATTGAGAAAACACTGTGCACAAATATGAATCTGTCTCTTACCGACAGAGGCCCCCAGTTATTAAATTTCATGGAAGTGTTATTGAAAAATGATACAGTATTATTAATATATGAAAGCATCACTACTATACATTCCCCAGAAAATTTTGACAGATCTTTTATGAGGGCATTCAACACTCACTGATGATTTTCTTTTCATGTTCAGGATCAGGATGGATCCCATATTAAAGGCTTGCTGATCAATTTTATTCATCACAATTGGCCATCCCTTTTGAAACATGGTTTCCTTGAGGAATTCATTACTCCTATTGTAAAGGTGTGTCACATGTTCATAGTATTTTTTTTCAGATATACACTAAGAACGTACTGTAGCTAATAAAGAATACTGGCAACAGCTCCTGCTTTATTAGTTCTTGCTGGGTATACTTTTCTAACATAATTTCATATATACATACAATGAAGTGGAGTCCTTATAGAATGAGGAAAGAACAGCGAGAAAAAAAGCATGCAACCTGTTTGTAGTCACTTTATATAGTTAACAATACCAGAGCTCATCAAGGAGTATGTGTATGTTTCTGTGTGGGGAGAAAGAGATTTATTGAGCATTATGGGTATGCCTATGTAGCTATTTCTCTTTTGTGCAGAAAAAGATCTCAACTTAAATAGTCTATCGTGGAAATAATTTTCATTAAAACAACTAACTGATATATCTCTATTTTAAGGCGAGCAAAAATAAGCAGGAACTTTCCTTCTATAGCATTCCTGAATTTGATGAATGGAAAAAGCATATGGAGAATTACAGAGCATGGAAGATAAAATACTACAAAGGTTTGTGTTAGCAATAACTTCCCCACCCACTAAAACAACTGTGTGGCACTAAAAGATTAAGGCTTAGACCAGTCAAAGTAGGCAATCTCTGATCACTTACTTAGAAGTAAGCCCCATTGAGTAATGTGGGACTAACTTCTGAACAGACCTATGATTGCAGTAAAGTCCCTTTGAAAATGATGGAACAAGTTAGTTACCATCAACTAAACTCACTTAACTCCTCAGTGGTACAGTCATGGCTAACTTTTAACTCCATCAGAGCCTCTAATTTTTTTAATTAATGTAATTATTAACTTGAGGTAAATTGTTTGTTTCACTTCTAGGTTGTATTCAGCTGATTTTAAATCAGAAGGATTAAGATAAACTTTCTTTTTTCTTTTTCACTGATGTAGGTTTGGGTACCAGTACTGCTAAAGAAGCAAAAGAGTATTTTTCAGATATGGAGAGACATCGAATATTATTTCGTTATGCTGGTCCTGAAGATGATGCTGCCATTACCTTGGTAACGATCTCCTTAGTTAATTTATCTCTGTCAACTTGCTCTGTGTAGTTCATATTCTGTCAAGTATTTCTTCAGTTCTCTCCCCCCCCCCAAATAAAGCACTTCAACAAACACTTAAATTATTCCTACTGAAAAGGAGCTCCAATCCCTTGATAACTTCTGTTGGCTATTTTATTACCCTTTCTGGTATAAACCCCTATTTTGAACTTGACCTCTTGCCCTCCAGTATTCCAGTGGTGAACACGATAGCACCATAAATTAATCTGATAACATTGTTATACATGCTGCTATAGTTTCATTCACTTTCCTGATAAGCCTTTAGGTAGAATTTGGCTGTTTTTTCATTGACATCTACCATTTCTCCGTTTCCAGTGCAAAACCCAACAGCTCAGAGCCAAACCAGATCTAACCCTTGAGATTTGTGATTAGACTCTCCTCTCCTGCATTGAATAAAAAGATTAAAAGCAGCCATGGGAGGATCGGGTGTGAATTGGAACTGGAGGGTGGACATTTATTCCTTCACTCCTGCCCCATTTCTAAATACCAGGTGCCTCCCCAGAACTGTAGTTTGTCCTTTGAAGGAAGAACACATGTACTCATATGGTACTAACATTTTACCCCCTGAAGGACAAATAACAGCTCTGAATTGTCAGTTGGGAGCGGAAGAAAGAAATGGGGTGGGAGAGAAGATAAGCCTCTTCTCCCAGTGTTTTGGCCTTGATCCAAATCAGGCCCATCTGTGGGCTGCTTTTAGCCCTTTAAATGTCTGGGAGATCCTAATTGTAGCATTCTAGATCACATCAACTTTTGCCATTGTATGTGAAGTTAGCATTGTTTTTGTCCCAGTATACTTCACTGACATTCTTTGGCAGCAGCCATATCATCAACTTTTTGAGCTTATCTATTACTTAACTGTGGTGTCCGCATGCAGACCTTCTGGATATTTAACCTAAGAGGAAGGCAAGGGAGGAATCAACCTTTACTAAGCATCCTTTACACTTATGCAGATTAAATATCAAAAATATCAAAAATATCAAATGTAATACCGTACTGTATATTAAACATATCCTAATTTTTGCTGAAAAATAGCATTCAAGGTGGCTTATACTATAAATATTAAAAATAGTAACTATAAAGATTAAAAATAGTAGCAGCCAGTCAGTCAGTATATGTTAATACAACCTGTTTTTCCAGGTTCTGGTTAATGTGCATGTTTCCTAGTTGTAATTTGTCTGATCAACCTATATGAAATCTTTTAGGCCTTCAGTAAGAAAAAAATTGATGATAGAAAAGAGTGGTTGACAAATTTCATGGAAGACAGAAGACAGCGTCGGTTGCATGGATTACCAGAGGTATCTGTCATGTATTAAGAAGGAAAGGTATTTCAGGTATTAAGAGGGAAATGTTTATTGGCATTGAAAGTAATAATAACTTTTATTTATTTTAGCAATTTCTGTATGGTACAGCAACAAAGCATCTAACTTACAACGATTTCATCAACAAGGAGTTGATTCTTTTCTCAAACTCGGATAATGAGCGATCCATTCCATCTCTTGTTGATGGTCAGTAGACCTTTATGAAGACCTATTTCTTTTTTATATGTCACTTTGTAGATAGAATTGTTTTGAAAAGTAGAGGTCCCATGGGCACTCAAGTTTGTTATTATAACTAATCTCCCTAGATTGATGTAAGACATTATTATCTCTGTCTTCTGAGTGGTTATTTTAATTAAAAAATTTATGTGGCTTAAGGTGGCTTACAATTTGCTTCTTTAAAACCATAAATATTATTAAAAGCAGTCCATGGAAAACTCCATGTTAGTTGCTATTACCTTGTGTTTTCATTGGGCTAAAATAGACATAGGAACCACATCTTAAAACTGTAATTTAAATCAGTCGATCTCAGAATGTGGGTTGAGACCCAGAAGTGGATCGTGACACTCCTGTAGATGGGTCACAAGGTTGTGGAGGAGGAGGAAGACAGTCCTAGTCAGCACTAACTATAGTTCGCTTGAATTTGATGTAAATGCAAATTATAGTTACTTTGAAGTAGAAGAAGGGAGAAGACACTTCTTTATAACTGTAATTAGAAAGATACTGGCACAGCTAGGAGTAAGATTTTGAAAAATATTTTAAATAACTTTATTCCTCAACACAGGTTTTAAACCTGGGCAACGCAAGGTTTTGTTTACTTGCTTTAAGAGAAATGATAAACGTGAAGTTAAAGTTGCTCAGCTGGCTGGTTCTGTGGCTGAGATGTCAGCCTACCACCATGGGGAGGTGAGTATGAATAAAGGAACTTGTGCATTAGTGCTTTCTATCTTTGATTCCATGGTCAGTTTTGAGCAAGGCCAAGTTTGGAAAGTAACCCTTTCCTTTGTCTGTGGCAGTGATTTCAGGGGTGGATGGATGGGTAGAGAATGGCTTAGATCCCCAGAGTTTTCCGTGGGCATAAGGATTTCTACTCATGGATTGCAATCCTGAAATGTTTCTGGGGGTTTCTTATCCCTCAGAAACAAGATTGGGGGGCATTTCAGGCTGCTGCAGGAGAGAGGAGCCGAGAAAGCTACACTCTGTGATCAGAAATCCTGCTGTAAAAACTCAGGGTGGTAGAAGTGTCCCGTCCCTTTCCATCAACCATCAATGAGGTTATTGCTCTTACAGCAGATGGGGCAGGCATCAGGCCAGCCTCTTCACTTGCAAATGAAGATGTGATAAGAGGGTGGTGGTGACTGTGTTTGGGTACTCTTCATTGTTCTATTCCACCTTCCAGTGTAATAGGCCCTTAAATACCCATCTCTGTATTTTACTCTGTAGCAGGTGATAAGTAGGGTTACTTGGAAGCAAATATGTTGTAGTGGTAACTGTTTTTCTGTTTGGAAAGGGTATAGTTTTGCACACCATTGTGACAATGCTTGATGGTTCTTCTTCTAGCAAGCTTTAATGATGACCATTGTCAACTTGGCTCAGAACTTCGTTGGAAGTAACAATGTCAGTTTGCTACAGCCTATTGGTCAGTTTGGTACTAGGCTTCATGGTGGCAAGGATGCTGCAAGTCCTCGTTATATTTTCACAATGCTGAGGTAAAGTTTTGTTCAAAACAGGACAAACTAGTTTTATTACAGTTGTATAGAATTGGCAAGTATATATTTGTCTACACTAGAGAAAACTAAATGAGTATTTCAGGCCACCAATAAATTTATGGAGTGCTGTTAAAACTATTTTGAGATGAGTCACTGGAAAAGACAATGATGCTAGGAAAAGTTGAAAAAAAGAAAGAAAAATTGTTGAAATGCTTGGAAATCAGACTCAAAGTAAAATGGCCTGAATTCCGATCCGAGGAGGAGTCCCTAAAGCTATCATTTTTTGAATGGAGAATCCTTTTTCATGTGTTACACAGTCATAAAACACAGATCTCTGCAAAATTTGTTGGGTAGATGTTTAGAGGAAGAGGGACAAGGAGTTTCTTAATTGACATAGTGCTCTGAGCTCTAATAATGTTTGTCTAAAAATACCACCCATCTGCTAAAGCAAGTAATATCACAGTAGTATGCTTCAAGACAATAAATGGATGCAAAGTGTCAGTTAAGTGTGCTCAGGACTCATGGATTACAGTGAGACATATACCTGCCTTGTCCATGCATTGGATTGCAACCAGGGCCTGATTAAGATGCTTCCTATTTAGTGCATTATTGGGGAAATATCCATATACTCATTCCTATTGCAATTACATATCTCTCCTAATATGGCACTGAAGAGAAAGCTTGTTCACTGGGAAAGTTATGTACACATCAGAACACTTGTGACATCCTCAGTCACTGCTATCAGTTTGAGAAGGAAAAACCGTATGGCGTAATCTTTACAACTGTAGCTTCTAGATTGACCCCCCTTCTTTCTGGCCACTGACTCTGTCTTAATATCAGTTGTAATATCTACTGACACACATGATGCACAATCCTTCCCTTGAGAGTTTGGAAATTGTGCCTCATGTGCCATCTGTTTGATTGTTAATTGTCCTGGAATGGATATTAATTGATAGTGTGTTTATTGTTTTAACCATTGTTGTTATCCGCCCTAAGCCCTGCTGTGCAGGGGAGGGTAGACTAGAAATCAAATAAATAAACAAACGTAACAATCTGAAATTCATTGATCTAAAATGGAGTTTGTTGTGCTTTTCTTTAAAGCACTTTGGCAAGACGGCTTTTTCCAGCAGTGGATGATAATCTGCTTAAGTTCCTTTTTGATGATAACCAACGTGTGGAGCCAGAATGGTACATTCCCATAATTCCCATGGTCTTAGTAAATGGTGCTGAGGGCATTGGTACAGGATGGGCATGTAAAATTCCAAACTATGACACCAGGGAGATTGTGAACAATGTCAGACGAATGTTGGACGGATTGGATCCTCATCCCATGGTAATGTAACTTCTGGATAATATAACTGGTCCGCACATTGAAGTAAATTATAATTTTTCTTTTGTAAAGAAACAAAAGATTTTTTTCTGATTTTTTCCTGTATACAAAACAATACTGTCTGATCATGGATCTATGTTTTTAAGCAATACGTTAATATGTTAAAATGGTTCATAAAGGTTTTGTTTTAGGTGTGTTTGCCTCCCCCATTTATATGAAATGCAGCATATTTACGACTTAACCATGTTCTCAAAAAAAGTTCTGGTTGTCCAGGAAAAGTGATCTGTTCATGTATAGATACTAGCAACTTCACATTAGATACTTTTCACTTTGTCAGGTTGATTGGCTTTGTATTTAAAGGAGCTTTCTAGGGCGTCTCAGATATAGAGTAATAAGGACATGCTCAAGTAAGACCTCCCTGCACCTAAGGGCAGTTGGAACCGTTTGACTGTCATACCATATGGATGGAAGTGTTCTATGAAATTGGTAGCATGTAGGGATGGGCACAAACCAGTCCACAGACCTAATTTCATCACAGACTGGGGGCTGGTTCATGGTCTGTTTGTCTAGTCCGTGCATTCATGGGTTTGATGAACCACCCTTGAAGTGCAGGTTTTTTAGGAGGCCTGTTTGGTTTGTTGGAGCAGTCCGTGGGCCAGACATGCTGGCACCCAGGGAACCCTTTGAAGCTTGTGTGGCCGCTGTGGTGCCCTACAAGTGAGCTTAGGAAGCATTTAAATGCCTTCCGAGCCCACTTCCGGATGACTCAACACGAATGACCTCACAAAAGAAAATGCCTCCTGAGCCCACTTCTGGTGGCACAATGCGAGTGACCTCACAAGGCAAAATGCCTCCTGAGCTCACTGGCTTTGCGCTGCAGTTGCGGCACTATCCGGAAGTGGGCTCAGAAGGCATTTAAGCCTCCTGAGCTCACTCACAGCGTGCAGCATCACAGACCTCACAAACTGGTTTGTAAATCAGGAAAATCTGTGGAAGTTCATGGTTTTTGAAACTTTTGAACCGCGGACCTCCATTTTTCTAGTCCGTGCCCATCCCTAGTAACGTGCCCTCAGCTTTATGATGGTCCTGTTCTGATAGTTTTTAGATTACTCTTTGAAAAAGTTCCTTCTATTAAAATGATTGATGTGCTTAGCATTCTGTGATGCTGACTATTATGCAGCAATATACTTAACATATTAATGATTGATGTGTCAAATTTTCTGTGTCTTTAGCTTCCAAACTACAAAAACTTTAAAGGAGCTATCCAGGAACTTGGCCAAAACCAATATGTAGTGAGTGGAGAAATATTTGTGCTTGATAGGAACACAGTGGAAATTACAGAGCTTCCAGTTAGGACATGGACCCAGGTAAAATACTTTTAGAATGGTTTTAGATTTCAATTATTTGTGCTGTTTTTCTTTTAAATAACTAATTTTGTATTTTCTAATGTAATTTTAGGTTTACAAAGAACAGGTGTTAGAACCGATGCTGAACGGGACCGAAAAAACACCAGCATTAATTTCAGATTACAAAGAATATCATACTGATACTACTGTGAAATTTGTTGTGAAAATGACAGAAGAAAAGCTTGCTCAGGCAGAGGCTGCTGGACTTCACAAAGTCTTTAAGCTTCAAACAAGTCTAACTTGTAATTCTATGGTAACTTTTCTATATGTTTGACTACCAGACTAAGAACACGACTGTTTTCTGTGTCACTTAGGTAACAGTTCTGGGCAGCACGAGAGTAAATATGTGTACCTTTCAGGGTGAAATTTTATTGGGGAACTCTGGTGAGGGATAAAAAATGTTAGTCATTAATTTTGTATAATCCAGAGACTGCCTCTTCAAGTACCCTAGGATAAAAACTTCTTGCCTCTGGGTTTGTCTGCATATTCAAGAGTTGAATCAGACTAAAGTAAACTGAGAATTCCAAACTCCTGGCAAAATCAGGGACTCTCAATTTCCTCTTTTATTTCTGAACGTGTGGCAGAATTATATGCAGAGTTTTATCTCAAGATGGTTTGGAGAACTACAGGAAGAGTATAAAGAAGCATTAGGAATGCAGAAGCCCAGGAGAGAGCTTGAAAATGGTGGCAGTGAAACACTCTGAGATGTACAGTTTTAATTTATCTTAGAAGTTGCTGTAATTTGCCTTCATTTCTCAGTTCCTTGATTTATTGTCTACCTGTGGTAGGAATGCTGTTTTTATGACCAGCCTTGAGCTATGAAATTTAAATGCATAAATAAAAATTGGACTCCAGCAAATAACTGGTGAAGCACTGTGTTTCAGATGCTTCAGATATCATACTGCAGTCCACCCCCCTCCTTTTTGATAGTAGTTGTGGAGCTTGACTTGGCGGCTTGCAGTTGAACATGCATAAACTCTCATTCCTCGTGAGAAATAATTCATTGAATTGTATTGTGTTTTATATTTTTCTTGGGTTGCTGAAAAATGGATTCAGGGATCAGTCTGGGGTTTGTGCTTGAAACACAGAAGGTTGTCCTGAATATGCAAACTAACTTTTATTCTGAACTTCATCTTCAAGGAGTAGATTGCATTACATTGCATTTTGCATCTTCTTGAAGACTAGTGTAGGGATTAAGCTTGTGTTTGAGTATGAAATGTAAAATTGTGAACTGAGCACATAATGCTATATTTCAGTATGTTACTTCATTATTCAGCGGAGTTATTATGTTACAAATACATATATGAGTGAATTGAGTATTAAATAGAGATACAAACTTTGGTTAATTAGAACATTTCAACTTGGTAGAAAATGTGACTTGATCAAAATTTGAAAATAGTTAAAATACTACTCCGAAAAGGTCTATAATTTCCACTTCAAATTGAGAACATTTTAAAAGGTTTGCAGTTTTGTTTTCATGTTATTTTGCCTATGTGGCTTATACAGATAGTCATACTTCTTGCTGGAATTATTTTAATTCAGTATGTTATATTTGTACAGGTGCTATTTGATCATATGGGATGTCTGAAGAAGTATGAAACAGTGCAAGACATTCTGAAGGAATTCTTCGACTTACGATTAAATTATTATGGCTTGCGCAAGGAATGGCTTGTAGGAATGTTGGGGGCAGAATCTACTAAGTTGAACAATCAAGCTCGTTTTATTTTAGAGAAAATACAGGGGAAAATTTCCATAGGTGAGAAAAAATAACATACCTTTAAATAGAGATCTATAGATTTAAGTGCAGGCAAGTGTAAATAAAAACATATTTTCCATCCTTTTTTATTTCACATAGAGAATAAATCAAAGAGAGATTTGATTCAGTTGTTAGTCCAGAGGGGCTATGAATCTGATCCCGTGAAGGCCTGGAAGGAAGCACAAGAAAAGGTAACACATGCAGGAAATTTGAAAGATTTTTGAAGTGAGGGGTTTAAACATAAAGAGAAAGATTAGCTAGTAATCTGGACTAACAATATTGTTGCAGAATTTGCTTCCAACTAAGAGTTTACAGTTGTATCCTAACAGTGCAATCTTAAAGAGTGCAAGCCTCATTGAGCATAGAAGGGTGTAACTCAGTTTAGGACTTCATTGTAAGTTACAGTTCAAATATAAGCAAATAACGCATAATACAGCTGCAAGCTGCAGACTGAGTATGCTCTTAGGTATACATATATTGTGATATTTAATATCTCCTGGCATTTGCACTCACACACATGTATTTGTTTTGGAAATTCTGATGGATTTTAGTTGCAAACAAGTTTGGGACCTCACTATCAGAAAAGCAGGGCATTAGATACAGTAAAAATATTTAATACTGTGGATGAAGGGAGTTTAGATGTTTGTTTTTTGCCTTTGTCTCATATTTAGAACATAAGAAGAGTCCTGCTGGATCAGATCAGTGGTCCATCTAGTCCTGTATCCTGTCCAGCATCCTGTTTTACACAGTGGCAAACCAGTTCCTCTGGAGAGCCCACAGCAGGGCATAGAGGCCAGGACCTCCCCCTGATGTTGCCTCCTGGTTCTGGGATTAAGAGGTTTAATCACTGACAGCCCTATTCTCCATGAATTTAATGGAGAAAAATTTCCATTTAATGGGGAAAATTCTATTCACTTCCATGGGCATGTTTGGAATTGAACTAGTGCCAGGAAAGAGTAACTTCAGGTTGCTATGAAGTTCTGTTTCTTTAAAAATATGCAAATTGACAATAATGTTTGAATAAGAAGAGCCCTGCTGAATCAGACCAATGGTCCCTCTAACTTAGCATCCACTGAGAGCCAGTTTGGTGTAGTGGTTAGGAGTACAGACTCCTGTTTGGAAGAACCGGGTTTGATTCCCCACTCTTCCACATGCAGCTGCTGGTGTGACCGTGGGTCAGCCATAAGTTCTTTCAGAGCTGTTCTCTCAAGGGGAGTTCTTGAGAGAGCTCTCTCAGCTCCACCTACCTCACAGGGTGTCTGTTGTGGGGAGTGGAAGGGAAAGGGATTGTAAGCTGCTCTGAGACTCCTTTAGGTAGTGAAGGGTGAGGTATAAATTTTTTTAAATTTTATTTATTTAGGTATTTTTACCCCGCCCTCCCCGCATCCAATGTCATCTTCTTTATCCTGTTTCAACAGTGGCCAGGCAGTTGTTCTGGAGAGCCAGTAAACAGAACATAGAGGCTGAGGCCTTTCCCTGTTGTTACCTCCTAGCACTGGTATTCAGAGGTTTGCTGCCTCTGATTATGGAGATTCCCTTAACTCACCGGGAATAGTGGCTATTGATAGATCTCTTCTCTATGAATCTGTCAATGGAGGAGGAATACTGGCTTTTGAGAAAATGCTTTTACTTGGTTACAAAGAGGGTCAGTTTGCAAATGATGCCAAGGGAAATGGTCCCCTAGATTCCCAGACTGCGCTTGTGCTTTTAGGTTCAGTGGAATTGTAGAATTTATGGAGATTTTTTTTCTCTCTTCCTCCTCCGGCTCCTGTTATGGTCTTGGGCTAGAAGAGTTAACATTTGTGATAGATTAGGTCTTGCAAACTGATAGGAAGCTTATTTCCTTTTTTTTCTTTCAAGTTTCCTTCATCCAGTCCTTTCTCGAGGCTTGTCAGTGCTTTCAAATCTATCCCTGCACAAATCGGTTGATCTGAGCTTCCTTGCCCATGAAGAAACACACAGCTTGCATTCCTTGCCCCCGGAGAGGAAGCAATCATGTAATTATGCACAGTGGCCCATAATTCATACTGTTAGGTGATAGTGCTGAGGAATTCAGCATTATGATTGCATCCATGGCCATCTGGTTGCCAGGGGACTACTGTTGTCCCAGGTGTGGAAAGTGAGTATTGCACCTAAGGAATCTCTTGGGGGATCAAGCCCATCTGGAGTTTCTGTTATCATTTTGGAAGCGAATGGAGAAGCATGTCCAGCATTCAGTCTTCTTTTTGGAGGTCGTGAGACCTTTTGAATGCCCCAAAGAGTCCTGGCCATTGGGAAAAAGCCTTATCCGGAATCAAAAGAGCCTACCCTACCAAGAGTATGGAAAGATCTGAGTGGGAAAATCACATCTGACCAAGAGGGCAGAAGATGCAGTCCTCAGCTTTGAATACCTTTCACCCTCCTCGCAAACATCTAAAGTTCCATTCAATCCTGAGGAAGGGGAGCCCTAAAAGAAGGATTTGGAGCAAAAGAATTGGGACAAACTTGGGTTTTACTGCCAGAATTCTTTCTAGAATTTTTCTATGCATTCTTGAACCAGCAGATAAACAGTCTTTCACCCTCCTCGCAAACATCTAAAGTTCCATTCAATCCTGAGGAAGGGGAGCCCTAAAAGAAGGATTTGGAGCAAAAGAATTGGGACAAACTTGGGTTTTACTGCCAGAATTCTTTCTAGAATTTTTCTATGCATTCTTGAACCAGCAGATAAACAGTTATATCACTAGTTATATCATGCAGCTTTTCTTCAAGATCTTTCATGCTGCTTTTCAGTGCCTTTCAGGATGAAATGGGCTAAGGTTTAAAATACAGGACTAGGGTGCAAAAAAAAGACACTTCCGTGGTCATGTGGCCGGCAAGCCTAGATGCCAAGGTGCACGGAACGCTGTTACCTTCCCACCGAAGTGGACCGATTTATCGACTTGCAATTTCTTGCTTTTGAACTGCTAGGTTTGCTACATGAAGGAGCTGGGACCAGAGACGGGAGCTCTCTCTGTCTTGCAGCACTCGGGTCTCGAACTGCCGAACTACTGACCTTCCGGTCTGCAGTTCAGCGTCTTAACCACTTGAGCCACCGCAGCCCCTAGAGTTCTCCCTTATCCAAACCCAAATAGCCAATACCCAAGGAAAGCCTTCCTCTGGTGGCTCGTGCCTAAACAATTGGTGACAGGCACCCCCCCTGAGAGATCCATATTGTGTTGTAACTTTGATGGAAGAGTCCACCTGTTTGGATGGGGAACCTGTCTTCAGGATTGCTCAATGTCAGAGACTTGGTCTAACTCCAGAGCAAGAAAATTTATCAGCTAACTGAAACTGAGAGCAGATGAGGTTGCTGTATTCTGAGTCACACTGTTGTTTTATCAAGGTCAGGATTGTCTGCTGTGACTGCCAGTGGTTCTCCAGGGTCTCAGCTAGAGATGTTTCACATAACCTACAACCTGATCCTTTTAACTGGCAGGGATCAAACCTGGGACTTCCTGCATGCAAAGCAGATGCTCTCGCAGTGAGCCAGAGCCCCTGAACTATAACTGTGTATCTTGAGATTCTGACATCAGTTTGCTACATGAAGAGTTGATTATAGTGCAGGGGCGCCGTTTCTGTTCTGTTCACGATGTCCTTTAGGGCTTTATGCCTGGCAGTGATTCAGATCCAGTCTGTTCGTCATGGAGAAGTTTTCCCGTTTGGTGTGGCTTGCAAGCTGACCCTCCCTATGACCAAGAGGAGGCACCTCCTCAAAAGTCAAAGTTTGCCCCACTGCAATACTATGGGATATGTGAATTAACAGGTTCCTCCTCCTTAATACGAAGAATTGCACATATTTTAATATGGCTAAAATAAAAAAGTGTGTCACTTGTGGGGATTTTCATCCATGGTGGTATTATGGAAAACTCCAAAAATGAATCGCCGTTGCATGTATAGAGCAGCTGATAACGGAGACAGAACTCATGAGTTTGCCAGAAGCTGAATCTGTACATTGGTAATCGTCTAACATACAAGTTATTGATAATGTTATGTTATGTATTTGAAATATGTAACGTGTAGCGTTATAACTGATTTCTTTTTGTTGTAGTCTTCAGAACAGGAAGAAATGCAGAATATAAATGATGACAGTTCCTCCTCTTCAGGATCTACCTCAGGCCCAGATTTCAACTATATTTTAAACATGTCTCTGTGGTGTCTCACTAAGGAGAAAGTAGAAGAGATAATCAAACAGCGAGACGCAAAAGTGAGTACTTTTCAGAGTTCTACGTTGGTATTAAGTCATCTGTGTTAGATGAGGCTGCTTCACATCATGAACAATACTACAAGATGTTGCAATGTAATTGGTAGAGTTTATTTTTTTTTACTGGCTTTTCAGAATTTGTACTCTGTAACCTAGGCTAGCCTGATACCATCAGATCCCAGAAGCTAAGCAGGGTCAGCCCTGGTTAGTATTTGGATGGGAGAGACTACCCAAGAATACCAGGGTCACTACACAGAAGCAGACAATGGCAAAACAGCTTTTGAACGTCTCTTGCTTTGAAAACCCTATGGGGTCGCCATTAGTTGGTTGTGACCTGACCCCCCCCCCCCAAAAAAAAGAAAGATCAAATCTGTGTATAAGAACAGTAAATTGCATAGGTGCTCACATGGTTTGCCATTTTTGCAATGGATTCCCTACAGTTTTTGGTAATATTAGATTGTGTTTGTGATATTAATTATTATGTTCTTGCTGGAGTCACATGTTTCCTTTTGCTTTTAGGGAAGGGAACTCAATGACCTCAAGAGGAAGTCACCTTCAGACCTTTGGAAAGAGGACCTAGCAGCTTTTGTAGAAGAGCTTGATGTATGCTGTCATCTCAATATTTGTATAATATAGTATTCAGAATTAATGCCTTAACAGAGGCGGGGTAGTTTGAAGGGACTGTTCATTTTCATCTCAGGAAACTGTCTTGAAAATGGAATCTGACGCTTTGTCTGTCTTCATTGCTAAGCGTTACCTTGTTACCATAAATGAAAGGCCAGATTGTGCTGAAAGTTGCACAATGTGGTATTTTTTCTTGAGTTAAAAAGTTCTCCGTTTCACTGGCTACTAAGCTTTGGCATGCACTCAGAAACCAGCTATACAACATGTGGTTTACAGTGCTGCTTTCCCTCTTCTTAAAAGAACTTGGCGAGGTCATTTTAGGACATAGGGGATGCAAAGACTGAAAGATGCATCCTCCAACACAGAAGTTATGCCACATGTAACAAGGCACAGTCTGATGGGATCATGCAACCTGAACACAGCTCAGTATTTACCCTTCTTATTCAGCTGGGTGACAAAATTCCAGTGTGTTCTGAATGGAAAGCTTTTTCAAACAGTAGTAAATTCTACAGGTATTCTCAGAAGAGAGAGAATGTGGCAACACACATACTGTTTCAGATACTGAAAGCTTCAAGCTTAAAGTGACATTGCCACTTCAGTTGAGGTAGACAGTCACAGGACTGTTACTATTTTTAAAACAGGACTTAATCACGGTTAATGGGGCTGTTGAAGTAATAGCAGTTGAAATTGTATTTTAAATAGTGTATGGCTCCCCTTCAAATACACATGATACTTCCCAAAAGTATGAATCCCAAAAGCTCTCAGTAAAATCAGTATGAATTCTGTATGCAATGGGTGTGGGATCCAAGCAACCACACAACTTAGTATTCTGAAATGTGGTATAGCAAGCTACTTTTGAATCTGAGGGGACCTATTCAAGTTGAAAGAGGCTGGTTTTTAAAACCCACAGTCATATATCCCATTGGGTTTTCAGGCATGTCTAAAATGGCTATTTTTGGATCCCAGACTGTGAGATTTTGCCCTGGCTGCTTTTCTGGTATAAAAAACCAGGGGGCATGTGCAGAATAATGCGTATTTTATACTAAAGGAGGAAAAACAAAATGAGGGCTTGATAAGGATTGTGCATGCTCCAGGGAGCATGAAATGTTTAAAAACAGCGGAGAGTCAAATCAGGGGTGGAAAATGGTCACTAAAATCAGTAAAAGTTTTTTCATCCTGGTCAGTAATTTGTCAGTTTTTTTAAAAAATGGTCAGTAAAGTCAGGTTTTTTTTAATTTTTGTGAATGCAGGTTGTGTTTTTTTGTTTTAATTACTGCATTTTGGGGAAAACATGATGACTTTCCAGTGAGAAGACAGATTATTTTTAGTTCAGTTGTGAAGTACTTTAAGGACTTTGTTCCTAAGAGTAAAAGTGATTTGGTGAAATCTTCCACAGCGTATAGAAACATAATTAACCTCTTAAAACATGAGACAATAAAAGCAGATGTGATTTTTTTTTTTGCACGAGTGCCTGCTTATTTACAAAGTTCACCGGAGTGTTACAGAAAGAAGAGCCTTTGGTGCGTGTGATGCACAGTGAAGTAAAAACACTCACAAGAACCATAATGAATTGTGTTTGTAAGAGTTCAGCACCATTGTCTCTTGAAGCCTTCATTGATGAGCACTAAATACCTGTGAGAGAAGTAATCAGTGAAAGTAGCATCTGTGACGAACTGAAAAAACTTTCTTAAAAGGAACAGCTACTCTATTTAATGGGAGCAAAAAAACATTTCATAGCAGCCTGCAAACACCTTTTACTTCAGTCATCCTTGGACAAGCCTATCTTCAGATATCTTCAATGTCTAGCTCCAGCACAGACGGTCAAGGAAGGAACCCACAAGGATATAATGAAAGTAGCAGCAGCACTCCCGATGGATATTGCACTGGACATGATTGCGGATGAATGGAAACTACTTAAGACTTGAAAATGAAACTGCCAGTGAAACTTGCCACATAGATACATACTGGAATCAGTTCTTTGAAAAGAGACACCCATCTGGAGATCCAAAATACCCACTGGTTACCAAGGTGGTGAAAGCAGCATTATCATTATTGCATGGTAGTACAGACATAGAAAGAGGGTTTTCAAGAACTGGACGCATTTTGACCAATGAAAAATACTGACCTTCCACAGCCTGCAGTTCAGCGTCTTAAGAAAGAAGGGGAAAAGGCAGAGGAGTTAGAAAGGTTTAAGAAGATAGTGAAAAGGATAGTATACAAGAGAAGGAAGAAAAACTGAAAAAGCTGAGACAACAGAACGAGAAGAGGATGACTTCTTGAACTTTGCTAAATGATGCAACCAAATACGTAAGAAAAAGGATATGGTGGGATTCAACACAATACAGCACAGCTCATGCTAGAAGGAGTGAAGAAAGCAATGGAAGAAGAGGGCAAGAAAAAAAATGCTTGCAGATGCAGTGCGGAAAACTGTTGAGAAGCGAAAGAGTTTGTTAATATCTTCTTTTTTCATCAAAAAACCAAAGATAAAGTAAAAGCAAAGACAAGTCTTACGTTACTGTAATTATGTTTTATTGTCATAATGATTACTTTATGTGTGGTTTTTAATATGTTTTGCTGTTTTATTATTTTTAAAAGGGAACCTTTTTTGCCTTAAATTTTGTATAATAATGAAAACATTGTCCTATCTTCATTTTAAAACATTTAATACAAAAGTGTGCAGTCCTTTTATCTGGATCACATCTGACTGTGGCTCTGGCTATGGCGATGGTGGAGGCCAGATAATAATCATTTGTAATGAAGTCCTAGTTTTACTTTTAAAACACTAGCTTATCAGTAGGCTGACATTAAATTGTTCAGTAATTTATCAGTATTTGGTCAGTTTTTTTGGAATTTTGGTCAGTAAATTCAGTATTTTTAACCCTCTGACTAGTTTCTACCCCGTCAAATGATAAAAAGGCAGAAATTAGGAAACCCTCAAGACTTTGTTAATCAAGAGTTTCACAGGGTGAGGTGACTTGCCTCACAGATGCTAAATTAATCAGATATCTGCCTTTGTGCAGAATTACCCGATTGTGGTAAAGACTGTTACAGTGTGCCGTCATAAGCAGAGTTATACCTTTCTAAGTCCATTGAAGTTAGTGGTTGGATCCAGCCACTCAAGTGTGCACAATTCTCCACCCTGCTTCTTCTTCCATTTCATATGGCTTTTGTGTATTCAGATCCCATAAATTTCAACATAGCCCTTTTTGATAGCCAAAGAGAACCACACCTTCCTGTTTCACCAGCAAATAAACCTGGTTGGATCAACCCAGAAGGCCCTATTCTGTTAATGAATGCACTGTTAGTTGCTTAAGTAAAGATGCCACCCATGGAGAGTAGAAAACTTGGTTTCTAAACAAAACACATTAGGAATAGTAGTTATTGACTTTCTGTGATAAATATCTTAGTTCAAATTATTAACATCTTAATGTGCTCCCACACATTAAAATATTTATAGAATGTCTGTATTCAATAGAAGAAGCTGATATTTTATGTTCATCTTCCATTATTATTAGAAAGTAGAAGCCCAGGAAAGAGAAGATGTCCTGGCTGGGATGGCTGGTAAACCCGTAAAAGGCAAAGTGGGTAAACCGAAGATTAAGAAACTTCACTTAGAAGAGACCATGCCCTCTCCTTTTGGTAGGAGAATAGTCCCACAGATTACATCTGCTATGAAGGCTGATGCCAGTAAGAAACTGCTCAAAAAAAAGAAGGTAAGTCTGTTCATGCCTTATTTGCCAGTTTAGCAGACTTTACGATGTTATGGATCAGGGTGGGCAAGACAGTTGCTGATCATTAGCACTGCAGATCATTTTGCTCTGTTCACCATGCTGATTTTCTGTCCATAAAACTGAAGTGTGTCTCTCAAAGTACAACCTTCCATCTTCCCCGTTCCACCTGCCTTTTTGTTTGTCAGAGCACTAACAGTTTTGCTGATTAGCTGTTGTAGATTTTCCGGGTTGTATGGCTGTGGTCCTGGCATTGTAGGACCTGACGTTTCTCCAGTAGCTGTGACCGGCATCATCAGAGGTATAACACAGAGAGATGGAGTACTCCACCTTTCTGTGTTATACCTCTGAGGATGCTGGTCACAGCTACTGGAGAAACGTCAGGTCCTACAATGCCAGGACCACGGCCATACAACCCGGAGAGTCTACAACAGCTAATGAACTCTGGCCGTGAAAGCCTTCGACAACATAGTTTTGCAGATGCTGGAAGTTTTTTGGGCACTCGGGCCAAAAAGGTGACATACCTTTGTTCTAGACTGTAATGGTTTATTCAGAAAGAGTTCTGGTCGCTAATACAGTTGGGATCCACTTGCTCAAAATGGGGCTAATGCAAAGGCACAAACTAATTTTAAAAAGGTCTGATAGATTCCTTTATTTGGAGCGCAAAGTTCTGCATATTAGGTAAAGAATACTTCTTTAGCTGAAATAATGGCTAAAGAGGACCTGTTTGGGGCAATGGAAGCCAAATATTTCACAACCAATAGAGGCAGACATTTTAAAACCTGCATTCCGGATTTTTCTTAGGTGCTTTGTTTTGGGTACATTTTATTTGATATTGGTAGGAAAAGCACAATATTTTTGTACTTTAAACCTGACCTCATTAGTCATTGACTGTAGTAGTTATTCAAAGCTGCCCTTTTCCCCTGGAATGAGATATAGTGATACTTAGGGAAAAGGGCTTTATAAATATTGTGGTGGACGTTTCGTATATGTTCTCTCAGTAATACCTTAGAATATCCCCTGTAACATGTCTCAGTATTACTCTATATTGCAGATGTGTGGTTGAGGCTGAAAGATAGTATTGGCAGTTTCTTCATTTTGTAGATGTTACTTTGGTGTTCCACTTTTTTTTTTAGGGTGATCTTGATAATTCAGCAATAAAACTGGAATTCGATGAAGAATTGAGTGGCACACCAGTAGAAGGTGCTGGTGAAGATTTGCTTAATACCTCTGCCCCGGTGACTAAAATACCCAAGCCCAAAAGAGAGAAAAAAGAGCCTGGTAAGCAAACAGAGTGTGGCTTTGAGTGTCACCCAGCAGAATCCACAGTTATGAGAAGAGGGGAACTTGTGTGTGGCAACATGGAACAGGTTTTGCGTTCGCATGTGCCCCCCATGAATTCCCCTTCAGCCATTATAAAAGAGCACCATCAGCTATATATGTGAAATCACTGCACATTCAACATGCAGTCTTGTCTGAAGCGTATTCTAAATTTTTTGCAGCCTTACTGGGGATATGTATGGTCAGTCCAGGATTTCTTCTTACCGTCAAGGCTGTAAGGCTTGGGGTGGAATCTAGACCTCTCCTGCCATCATTGCTGCTGAACATCTGTAGATTCAGGCTACTGCTCTGTATAATGGCAGAGTTTGATTTCTCTGGGGGGATTCTGGTTTCTGTGTGTGTGTGTGCACGGGCGCGCTCAGGAGTGTGCATCTTTATGTATTGGTGTTACTCTGAATTTCTGAATGTCTTGTTCCAGCCACAGTACGTTGGGGGGGGGGGGATGGCTACATAGAAGGACAGCTTTGCTCCTGTATCTATTCAAGGAACATTATCAACATTTTATGGTTGTATGTGTTAAAATGGCAGTGTAGTCCTGATGTAGCTGTGGTGGCTCGGAGGTTAAGATGCTGAGCTGTAGACCCGGAAGGTCTGTAGTTCGGCTGTTCGAGACCCTAGTGCAGCGTGACGGAGTGAGCTCCCGTCTCTGGCCCCAGCTCCTGCAAACCTAGCAGTTTGAAAGCAAGAAATTGCAAGTAGATAAATAGGTACTGTTTTGGTGGGAAGGTAACAGTGTTCCGTGCCCCTTGGTGTTTAGTCATGCTGGCCACATGACCACGGAAACGTCTTCAGACAGCGCTGGCTCTTTGGCTTGGAAACGGAGATGAGCACTGCCCCTTAGAGTCAGATTCGACTACCTTTCGAGCAAGGGAAACCTTTACCTTTAGCCCCGAATACAAAATATTTAGACACAGATACCAGCTTCAAAGAGTATGTCATATGAAACAACAAAGCTCCTACAACAAAGCTGTTTCATTCGCCCTTTGAACTTCAGACAATTCTTGTATCACCTTTTTAAATACAATTTGTACATTGTGGTAAATGAGGAAGTGTTTTGGACCACGTCTGCTTTAATAAATTACAGAAGAAGAAGGCTCAATAGCAAGAATTGTTTACATGATACAGCATATTTTGTACATACTGAGAATTTGTCATCTTCTAGGTACTAGAGTGAGAAGAGTGCCATCTTCTGGGAAGTCTAGTGCAAAAAAAGTGAAGAAACGAAACCCATGGTCAGATGATGAATCTAAGTCTGAAAGTGACTTAGAGGAAAATGAGCCTGTGATCATTCCAAGAGATTCTTTACTTAGAAGAGCTGCAGGTAATTCTGGATTCTTTGGAGAAAAATATTTGCAGTCACTTTTAGGTTAAAGCAGATAGGATTGTTACAAAACTTTTCAGGACACAGTTCTTGACAGAGTGAAACAAAATGTTCATATTAAATGAAGTGACAGTCTTTGTTTATGAAGTATTTCTTGTACATCAGAACCATGATTTCTTGCTGATTTTATATACTGTGTATTTCAGCTTTTTCTCTTTGTTGCCATTTTGCAAAGAATAATACCATGTCTTGCAAAAGAAGCGAATGGCAACAAGTATCTAATAAACTCAGTTATATTAGTGATGTAGCCTATATAAGGCAAAATCTTATGCTGAAATAATGGGGGTACTCTGAGTCCTGCAAACTTCAAATTGGCTTGTGCTAGAGCTGATTGGCAGCCCAGACAGTTTCCTCCATGCAGTGTGGCCAGTAGCTGAAGTTCTCCATTGGTTGGATCACCTAGTTAGAATGTCAGGAAGCAGAAGCAAAGTAATGGAGGAGGCAGTACAGAGATCAAATGAATAAGAAAACACGATTCTTTCCCCCCTGGAAGAAGCACCAGGGGCTGAAGTGGTGATGATGAAGCCAGCTGCACAGCCATACAGTTCCTTGAGCCCACCTACCCCTTATACCTCTTTGCAACTTCATGTAGCGGCCATTGCTGAGAGTGGTGGCATGATTTAATCAAAAGAAATCTGTTTGTGTATGTGCATTTGCCAGGAATTGTTTGCATAAGCTTTCTTAAAACTAGATTGCAGTGCAGTTTGTCTTTGTCGCTTGTAGAACATCACCATCTGTTCCAGCTAGCTAGGTAGGAAGGCCAACTTTTGCTTTATGAAGAAATAAATGTTTCTTTTTAGCCTTCGCCACTCCAGGATTGTTGTTTTTGTAACAAGTATTCATAGTATAAAGCACAGTACAAAGTATTTAGACACAGATGCCAGCTTCAAAGAGTATGCCATATAAAACAATAAAGCCGGGGGCGGGGCGACGACCTGAATGGGGTCGGCTGCATAGAGATTGAGCTCCTCGCCAACTCCCCTGATTCAATTAAAACCGAACACAGAGCACCGCAAAAATACAGCAAGGAATGGGCAAACTATCTGGACATAAACAGAAAGCAACTTCAGCATCAGCAAAAGTGCTAAAATCCTTTTTAAAAGGAGGAAACTCAGAAAAACTCGCGCCACGCAGAACACCGCGAGAGAACAACATGGCCGCCGCAACTCTACAGTCGGACTCACAAACTTCACAAACCTCGGAGCTGCTTACAACAGCTGATTTCCACGCTACTTTAACTTCTTTTAAGACAGAAATTATGGGGCTATTCCAGGAACTAATTAAACCGGTCACTGACCAACTGGAAGCCGCGAAATCGGCAATACAGGAACTTTCTACTGCGACAGAGACGGCACTCGAGGTCGGACAGGCGAACCAGGAGAGCATTCAAAGCTTGGAAGCGCACGAGAAATGGGCGAAGGATAAAATCTTAACGCTCGAAAATCGGGTTCGAGAGCGAAACCTTAAACTTAGAGGTCTAGAGGAAAAACAGGAAGGTAACACTGAGCTGGCGATTTTTCTCTCAACGTGGCTTGCATCTATCATGCAGCTGGAGGAGGGGATTGCTCCCCTCATTATAAAAGCCTATAGGCTAGGTTCATCGTTCGTTCCCAAGACAAGACTACCAAGGGACATAATAATAGAATTTGCTGATACTCGTACAAAAAGAAAGATTTTAGAAGTCTCACGTACATCAGGTGGTCTCAAATTTAAAGACACAGTGATTCAAGTTTTCCCGGACCTTTCCCCTGAGACTCTACAGGCGCGAAGAAAGCTGAAACCGATTGTAGCTCAGCTAATGGAAGCAGGAGTGAGATACAAATGGATGCCTACAGGTTCATTGCAGATACGACATCACAACAAGACATGGACTGTCGACAATCTGGAAAGTGGAGGAGAAGTCCTCAAATCTCTTAGATTGCAGGTCCCGATGGAATGCGAGAAGACGACGAACAAGAGAAAGCTGGAATTCCCATCACCTGTTAAAGGAAGCAAGATTCCTGTGCGTTTTGCACCAGGAAGCATCCAAATTTAAGATAAGAGGTCATGATATTGTGTTCTGTGTTTTGTCTAGATAACTTTGGAATTTTTTTCCATTTATGACAATCCTTTGGAATCGGGGGAGGAGGGTTAACGAGGCTGCTTCGATCTCTTTGCTCCGGGTGGGGAGGAGGGGAGTCCTTTTGGAAGAGCCCAAGGCTCCGTTTGTAAGGGAGGGGAAGGTTTTTTCTTCCCTTATGAACCCGAAGGGCTATTTTGAAGCACGGTGTGTTTTGTTCGTTGCAATGTTATTTATACTGTTCACTAGCACTGTTTTGCTTAATATTCTTCAAACTGAGGGGTGGAGGAAGGAAACCGTGGACGGGGGGGGTGTTGCTGGAAAACGGGGAAGGGGGGGGAGAGGCATTTTGTTTAAGATTCCTGCTTTTAATTGCTGTGTTATGGGGAAAGGGAGGGAGTTGGGTGGGAGGGAAAGGGGAAATAAAATAGGTTATATTTGCACTAAGTTCCCATTGTATGTTCCAGTCCTATTGGATGCTATTTGCTACGGGCTCTGGCCCATGATTATATTTATCTACAGTATACAAATAAGTCCCTCTAGATTATTGGACCCAGTGGAAGTGGTGATAGCTTTTATTGGGCCCCACTGTTATGACAGCTTTAGCATTGCGCTGACTTTCTGTTTTAAAAATGGCTGACACATTAAAAATCCTCTCTTTAAATTGTAACGGGGTAAACAACGTCATAAAAGCCAGAAGAATTCATAACTACTTGAAAAATCTTAAAACTGATGTGGCAATCCTTTTAGAAAGTCACTTAAAAAATGACACTAATCTGCTTCTAAAATCTGCCTGGTTCCCACATAGATATTCAGCTACTGGTTCCTCCAAGGCGAGAGGAGTTATCATTTTAATCTCCAAATACAATAAGTTTTTGGTGACAGATATACTTCAAGATCCTAATGGAAGATTCCTATTTGTTAAGGGCACTTTGAATAATCAGAAGGTAACCCTTGTGGCCATTTATGCCCCCAATTCGGGCCAACTCGGCTTTGCAAAGGAGGTATTTGAATCCCTTCAAACCTTTCGAGAAGGTTTGCTAATTATTGGAGCTGACCTCAATTATGTTCTAGACAATACAATGGACAGGAAACAATCCAACACCATCCCTACAGTTAAAAGACCAACTCAATCTAACTATACAGGGTTAAATAACCTCTTACATAAATACAATCTCAGAGACACCTGGAGACATTTCCATCCTAAAGAAAAAGATTACACTTTTTTTTCAAATAAAAATCAATCTTATTCAAGAATTGATTATATATTAGTATCAATTGACACTCTTAAATATTTCGCAACATCGGAAATCGAACCAAAATGTTGGTCGGATCATGCTGCAATCAGTTGTAAACTTAAATTCCATAATGAAACAGACAGAAGCTTTTCCTGGAAGTTTGACAAATTTTTATTAAAAAACCCTGAAGTGATCAAGCAAATAGAGTTAGACACTGAAGAATTTTTTAAATTCAATAAAATCGAAGATACCCCCATAGAAATTGTTTGGGACGCTTATAAAGCGGTCTTGAGGGGCAAAATTATCTCTATTATGGCAGCGCTGAAACTGTGGTTTGCCACTCTGAATGAATTTGGGGGATTTTGTGGGTCAGGCATTCCGTCTGTTCCCCCCTGCCCCCCGTGCAGTCATCCAATTAGCTATTCTGTTTTCACAGTCAACCATAGCTTACTGTAATAGCTGACCCCAAAATAGGATTTGTCTGCAAATTTGGATTCCAAACGTTACTTTGATCCCAGTTTGGAATCCTGATCTGCAGGAGAAGCAGGCACCTGGAAAGGAGAGGGGTGAGGGCAGTGGCAAAGGAAGCGCCTGAGCCTGAGAATCTTTTAGGCTTATTCAGGTATCGCCGATCTGTCCGCATTGACAGTCTATAGAACATTACTTTGATCCCAGTTTGGAATCCTGATCTGCAGGAGAAGCAGGCACCTGGAAAGGAGAGGGGTGAGGGCAGTGGCAAAGGAAGCGCCTGAGCCTGAGAATCTTTTAGGCTTATTCAGGTATCGGCGATCTGTCCGCATTGACAGTCTATAGAACAGGGCCTGTGCAACATGTGAGACATTCGCTGAATACAGCCCACCATCCATGTGCCATGAGCTGCCAGGTGTTTGATAACTCTTTCCTGTTGTTTTCATGTTCAAACAGTTCTTGACTGGAGACTTGTATGTGTCTTAGCTTGGTGGGTCCCAAATTTTGTAGACCCGTTGTGCTGCTGTTTGTCTTTGTGAGTGAAGCTGATATTTCAGTTTTCATTTTTACATTAGGAAGGTTTCCCAAGAAAAGACTAATCAAGACTTTGAAGGCTTGTTCACCTTTCCTTCTTACTCTCGGAAAGCCAATATTGGTATGTATAGATAAATATATACATGATATATTAAAGTTTCAGTTCAGTCTGTCAGAGTAGTGTTGGAATACATGGTATACCCACTCTCTGTAAGGGAGCCCAGAAGCCCCTGAATGAATCCCTTGGGGACTGGCCATTGGTTGGTCAGCCTGAATGGCCTTGAAGACCCTAAAGCCTTCAAAAACTGAAATGCAGGAACATTTTGTTGAGTGGACGAGAATTTAGAACACCCTCCGAAGAGCCTGTTAGTTGATTAGGAGAAGCTCTCGTGTTGGTGCCAAAGAACGTAACCTCTGTTACTGTTTAGTGGCTGCCCAGGCTTAGGAGATACTGTGAACACGAAGCAAAACAGATCATACAGATTCAAGAAGAAAGTGAGGAAACAGATGAACAAAACGCAAACCGACCAGCATGGGAGCAGGCCACTGCCCCAGTCTCCAGCACAACCTTTATATTATGCCCTACCCATTCAGGAAGGATGCAAGGCATGATTCCCCTAAATGCAGAGAGTTGAATGCAACACAAGGACCATGTGGGGACCACACATGTCACATGTGGACCATGGTTAAGTTTTTATGTTTAGAACTCTTTAAAAAAAAGAGAGAGAGAGAGACCCTTCAAGCATATACACAACTTTAAAGATCTTTTCTACTATTCAGATACATCAAAATTTGACAGCGAGGAGGAGGATTCAGCACCAGTCTTCTCATCCTCTTTTACTGAGAAACCAGCGGAGACGCCTTCAAGTAAAATGGTGGTCACTAAAAAAGGCAAGTGTACAAAGATGCTAGTTACCCTGTCCATCTAAAACTTTGTGACCCTGAGAAGGCATGGCAAAATTTATTCAACGAAATTAAGATAGTGAATTAGAGCCTGTTATTACTACTTTGGCAAGGTATAACCTGAGCTGTCTAAGTCACGATTTCCAGACTTTTTAATACAGTGATCTACTTCTGAGGATATATGGCCTTTGGCTGGGACTCAAGTCTGAGCAAAATCATGTGGACCATCTAGCCCAGTGCTGCTTGTTCCAATTGTCAGCTGACCTCCAGAGTCCCAGGAAGAGCTTTTCCTAGCCTTACTACCCCACCTGAGACTGCAAATCATGTGCTCTAGTGCTGAGCTATTTCAAATGTATTGCAGCTGTTTAAACCATCCCCTTACATGGATCATTAAGAGTGCACAGCCCTTCCCATAAGCATTGCCGTCCGCTTATCTCAGGGCTGCCAGTGGAAGAGTAGGAGGACTAGACAATGGCAGGAAGTTGTTGCATGTGAAATGACAGGCAGGTGGCAGGAAAGGCATTATTAGACAGTGTTTATGTTAATTATTCCATTTATTAGTATAATTAGTAGAAGTAGTAGTAGTAGTAATACCTTTGGATTAAAAATACTATACTCAAGGGGGACTACTATATACCTCCATACCATCAAAAAGTCCTCATGGCAATTAATTTAAAAATGAAGTATCTCTTATTAGGCTTACTTGAATGTAATGTGATCATGAGGACCTTCTTGTTAAAAGAATTAGGGGATGGTGGTGCGATGCACAATTTTAGTGTGAAAGTAATACTTACATAGCTTGGCTCTGCCACTGGCGTTATTTTTACATCTTTTAGATATCCTTTCCCATACAAGTGCTTGTTATTGGCATGTTGGGAGATCCCCAGTGGCACAACAGGGTTTTTGACCTTCCCCCAATTTCTTATGACCATTTTGGAAATTAGGAGGTCTCTGTGTGGCTATTGTTGTGTCTCTCAAGCCTGGATGGAAGTATGCACCTCTTATTCTCTGTAAGATTTACATGCACCAAGGCAGGGAAAAACAGAGCTTGCTTATGTCAGTCCCTATGTGCGGGTATTGTACCTTCCCGGATGGAATTATTGTACCCATGCTAAATACTTGTTCAAACAATAAAACTGAAGTTACATAATGTTTGTTAAGACAAAACAAAAAAAGGTTTATGTCATAAGCTTATCTTCCTCAGCCCCAATTACTTACTGTAGGAAAATCTTTTGCCAATAATAATCTTGCTGCTCTGATCAAATTACATTCAAGATAGTTGTGTATTTTTTCACATTGTAAATAATATAATTAACAAATTTATCATTATATTAGCAGCAAAAGCACCACCAGATGCACCTCCTAAGCCCAAAAAAACTCCAAAGCCCAAGAAGGTGGAAATAATAAATTCTGATTCAGAATCTGAATTTGGCATTCCAAAGAAGGTTGCAGCTCCTAAAGGTAAGAATTTAGGTTATATAAGTGGGTCAGCAGAATGCATATTGGTGCTTCCAGTCCTTTTCTTCTGTCACTGTGGAGTTCGTTTCTGAAGCAGACTTTTCGTTTTATTAGAAGGGGGGGTGTGTGCTGGTCATTCTTTTTCCATTCCTTCTGTAATGTTGGAATGGAAATCGTACCCACTTACAACCACAGGGATCCTAACCCCAGATTTCCCTTTCATGCGTTACACCAGCAGCATGAAGAGAGGGTACATGAAGTCCTTTGACAATGAGAAGATACTGCGTGCAAGTATCAGATAATGGGCTTTACGGAACCCTATCTGGAGTCATGTGTGCGCTGACAATTTTGTTTGTATAAAAGGTTCTTAACAGGCTTTGAATTCTCTTCTGTACTTGTTAGGAGAGCATGAATTCTACTCCATTGTAAAAAGGAGGTATATCTATTCTATACTGTTAATAACCTTAACAGAGGCACTTAATGCTGCTTAGTTTTGTTTACATTATATCTAAATGCAGTCTTAGCCACAGCCAATAAAATAAAATAAAAAGGCCGTTTGGTTATGTCTACAGCAGACTTTGTACATTTGTAGTTATACAGGTCAGTGGCAAGGGTAATAAAATAGTGTTATAGCTAGCCAGCAAAACTGTAGGAGGGTTTCATGTAACTATTAGTTGCCTGAACAATCAGAACATTATTCCTTCTGCAGCGTTTAAGCTGGGAAAATAGTGAAGTGGAATGTATTTTGAATCATGTAATTAATGTATTGTTTGACAGTGAAAAAATATACTGAGCTGCTAAATTCATAACATTCACTTTTCAGTTGCCTTAAAAGAAATATCTAGGGAAAACTTCGGCGTGGTAGAAACTTGGCCTGAAGTTACTAGGCAGAAAAAACAAGTTACTTTCTTTGTCTGTTGTGTCTAGCAGCAGTAGTTACTTTCCTAATGGAGTTGGCTACTATTTGTAATATTTGTAAATAAGCACTGGGTCTGTAAAGACTTATTGGTACAATAATTCCACTTTGAAACTTCAGTGTCTCAGATAGTATAATCGACTTGTTTCAGTTTAGCATTTACAAACTTTGTACAAACTTTCCTTATTATTCTTCAGTAGGAAAGGGGAGAGGAGCAAAGAAAAGGAAAGCATCTGGTTCTGAAAACGAAGGTGACTATAACCCTGGGAAGAAAACACCCAAGTCTACTCCAAGCAAGGTAACTGCAAAACCAGTCTGTCCGTATTTCCTACTCTTGGACAACGTAATGTACAGTATAGTGGCGTTCTTATATTGCATGTGTGGGTGGGTGCTAAATTTGTGTGTTTGAAGATGGGGTGCATGTAAGTGCCTTTCAGTCTTTCCAAAATCACTTTGAATGGTATAGAAAAGTTAAGGCTTGCTTTAAAAAGAATGCTGCTTGTGATCTCTTTTCCACAAATAACATTTTAAAAATACTTTTATTTGCAAAGAAACCGAAGAAGCTCTCCTTCGACCAGGACTCGGATGCAGACATCTTCCCTTCAGACTTTGCCTCTGAAACAGCCTCCCGGCCCCGGACAGGTCGGGCTAGAAAAGAAGTGAAATATTTTGCAGAGTCTGAGGATGATGATGAGTTTTCTATGTTTTGATTAAGTGCCCAAAGAGCACACAAACTTCCAACAAATATCTTATGTTGTCCTTTTGTCCCTTTCTGTCGCAGACTTTTTGTACATTTGACTTATTTTATGTGATGATTGTAATTGATGGTTTTTATTATCGTGTGTAAGCATTTTAACATTTGGTTCTTACACCTACAGTTTTATGCTCTTTTTTACTCATTGAAGCGTCCTGTATTTGTCTGACCGGCTTGTAGAAATGTTCTAGAAAGCTGTGCAAAAGCACACATTTTAACTGTCCTGGTTGCAAATGGCAAACCTGCTTTTTGAAATGAAGTTTAAACATTAAAAATATAAAACCATTTCTTTGTGTCTGAACGCTTTGGTTAGAGAAACTGTATTGAACACAGGCTTAAAATAAATATATTTTATTCTTTTGCCAGGAGGTTTCATGGAAAAAAGGTAAACAGTATATGAACATAGAAAGCATTGTTAAACAATCTCAATGTACAAACAGAGCCAGTGAAAGTACATCACAGACTTGCTAGAATATATATATATATATATATATATCAAAAAAAATCCACTAGTGCTTTTTAAATGAAACCTAAGAAACTGACACTTTAAAAAAAGTAACCACTCTACCACATTTTTCACTCTGTTTTATGGTGATTAACCAAGTCAATAGAGGCAGATTCTCTCCTCTGCTTTTGGGTCTCCTAGTGACAGGCCCTTGGTGACAGAGAGGAAGATTGGGGGGGGGGGGGCTCTGCACACAGAACCTCCAGGGTATTTTCCACTAGTGTCACCAATTCAGAGGTAGTGAGTATGCCTGGTCATTATTCCATGAAGTTTACCTAACAGCTTGTGAACGAGTAAACAACAAATAAAACCGGTAACACTGGAAAGTGTTTCTGCCTTGAAGGCTATAATTGACATAAAAATTTAGTATTTATTTTTAAATGCTGAGAAGTCAACCAAGTAATAAACCCCTTTGTAAATTTAAAGTGACGTTAACAGTGGAACAAATAACATCCAGCTAACTGATCTGGCAGTTACACTTATACAGAAGTTCCTTCTGCTAGTGCAGTGAATTTCTTTGTATCCTTTTACTGGGAAAGAAATACAAACTGAGGACATAAAAACAGCAATGATGAGCTTTCATCCTAACTGAATTAGAATGTTTCTTTTAGAGCTTATGTACCAGGAGGTGTAAAGTCAGTCCATCTTCTAAGTATGATGTCTTCAACGTCTTGTATACGCAAGGGAAAAAGGAAAGCACCAAACATCCAGTATAGAAAGTACAGGCCCATATAGCTGTATGTACAAAGTTATCAGAAATGGTATGACCATAATTTTTACCTCTGGTTTAAGAGCTCACTTCTATCACCTTGCAATCTTGGATGTTCGGAAGGAACAAGTTCTTTTTCGTGAAATAGCTGATTTAGCATTTCCAAAGTTTGTCTTGTCTAGTTAAGCTACAAGGCGTCCGTGTGCGCATGTGTACATATATATTATACAGATTCATATGAAAATCTCTTGGTCCTTGCTGGATTTTAGTGATTGTGTATAAGTCCAGAAACTAAGCAGCAGTAAAAATGTTTTTCTTGCATGTCATCCCTGTACATAAAGTGTTAGGAATGTAACTGGGAAATGTCTTATTGCACTAGTGGGGATTGACTGACACTGCTGTTATCCACTGAGCTTGGGGAGATGCTAGGACTGTGCTCCGCTGTGGTCCCAGTTGAGCTTGGTGTCAGTGGTTCATGTCCCTCTGAGTTCTCCAACATTTCTTGGATAAGTGGAGGCATTGATCCAGGGATTTCCATTTTCAGTGTAATAACGCGTTCAGCACCTTTTAAAAAAGAGCGATAAATACATTTTTAAGTCAGTACTGTCAGGCTTCCTGACATAGGAATAGACACCCAGACACTCCAGAGAAGGAGGCAAGAAAGTCTTCAGAGAAACCAAAAAGGTTGCTTAGTACCAGCACAATCATCCCAAGACAGTAGTTCTGGCTTCCCTTTGCTCACAACAGGTGAATGGCTGATGCCTTTCAGACTGCTATGAAAAAAATTGTGAGAGCAGGCCAATTAGGTTATTTTTAAACCTGCATTTTGTAGCTCTTGAGCCACACAGTGAGCCGAATGTCACTTTGCCCCTGCTTCCTTGGGTTTCCAAACAGCTACATGTTGGCAGTGCTCACTTCCCTGCACCGACACAGGCTACATTCTAGGCAATTCTCCGCATTGCCACCTACATGGACTTCATGGAAATGGTCTTCATGAAGCAAGGAATCATGTTGTTCTATAAAAGTCTCCTAAAACCATCACTATACACACACCTGTGTGAATTGAGTTTCCTATATGGTACTGATGAACAGAAAATGTGAGTGAGAACTATGGAATTTAATCTCAGAAGGGACAATGAAGTTCTCTTTTACAATAGTGAGCTCCTATTCCCATGGTCAGCAACACTTGGAAGACAATCAGTTCTGGAGAAGGCTGACGGATTAGGCAAATGCCATAATATACAATAGCCACTGCCAAATATCCTATACATTGTCCTACTAACAAAACTTACTGCTTTTTAGTACCTTACCTTCAGTTGGTTTAACTTAATGAAAAAGAAGCATTTGTGTGCTACACTATGAGGGGGGGGGATGGTTTCTCATACAGCCTCTGGATGGTTTCTCATACTTTGGCTAATTGCTAGGTTACTCTTTCAAGCAACTCAGAAGATTCAAAAGCTAATAAAACCAATTAATTTGGCTTGGACACTTTTCAAGCAAAGATATTTTAAAACGATAAAGTCTTCCTTCGGCTTGAAAGGTCTTTTTTATGAGTGTGTTTTCAATGCAAGTTTTGATGTATGGGAAACGAGTTCTTGCGCAACTGTCTCAGAGAGTCCTGCTTCCCAGCTCACTGATCCCAAGAGGCTTAAGCACACCTGACACTGCTGGGTGGTGTATGGATCAATGGGCATGCTGTGTTCACATGATTACATGGCAGGCACACTGGGTAACAGTGAAAACAGGGAATTATTATTACTGAGGTGCCTATGAAATTTACTGGGGAGACAAGTGAATGTAAGGCGAGCTGTCCAGCTACATTGTTCATCCATGTATTCTATAATATTGTCATTTGGATTTATACACAGATGTCTTCCCAGCAGCAGTTGTGCAAAAACAGCTCATAAAGTGGCCATTGGTGGTAGAATATTCCAGCCATCACTATGCTGAGGACAGCTGGCTGCCCCCGCAAGACATTCTGTAGTTCTTTGCTATCAAAGGATGCCATTTCTTTTAAGGCTGGGAAAGAAATGGAGTCAGGTGCAACCTAGCAAGCAGGGTACAGATACCAGATAAAAAAAGTAGAAAAGAGCAAGAGTCCAGTAGCACCTTAAAGACTAACAAAATAAGTGGCAGGGTATGAGCTTTTGTAAGTCACTGCCCACTTCTTCAGAATAACTCAGGAAAGCTCACACCCTGCTGCATGGTTTGTTAGTCTTTAAGGTGCTACTGGACTCTTGCTTTTTTCTACTGCTACAGAAAGACTAAGAGGGCGACCCATCTTGATCTATCACCAGATTAAAAAAAGATTAATAGAAACAAATGGCTAGAATTTCCTGAAACCTCTGTTCTAGCTTCATCCTTCAAAACTACTCTTTGTTTAAAAATTTGTGTCACATCTTTAGGTGATAAAGTGAGACTATGAACTCTGTAACATGGAAAAAAACATGAAAGTGGTGGTTAGGGACACGCGGAATGAACTGCAGGGTGACAACTGCACTGATGAAGTCACCCAGCGGCTTCACCAAGGTAAGTTTATCCGCACCCCTCTCAGTAGCTGCATACTGCAACAGGAGGACAAAAGCTAGATTCAGGAAGCACAGCAATGCACAGCACATCCCCTTCCGCGTTTACTAACAAGTATAAACCTTCAGTTGCTCTAAGGAAATCTTAAGATTCTGTTTTCTGTCTGCTCAACACAGCACACACACCCCACCCACACACAAAACATGCATGGAGCAGCCTAGCCTACCTTTTGCACTGATACTACGTAGATCTGTGATTTTCATTAGGATCTTTGGAAACATATGAGGCTTGTTGGGTCTTCTCTTTCGTATGTATATTTTGAGAGCCTCCAGTAATGGCTCTTGTAGCTCATCCACTTTTGCTGGTTCTTCAAGGTCCTGACGATCTGGGCCAAAGTACACAAATATTATGGACCTCCCTTATTATGCATAAGATACTATACAACAAAAGTAATATCCATAAGGCAGTTTGAACATCTGAAAGCGCTATACAGTTGCAGAGCGGTAACAGTTTTGTGCCAATCTAAAAATTACAACCAAACTCTGCCCTGTCTCCCTGCTGGTCATTGTTCCTTCTCTTTGGCTTCCACAAGCCAAGCCGGCATACCAACAATTCTTGCCCAGCTCACTGGTTTCTCCTCACCACACTGGTAGGGATGCCAGTGGCATAATGCTTCCCTTATACGGTCATTCCCAAACTTTCAAACACACACTAGCTTGTATTTACTAAGCAACCAATAACAAAATATTACCCAAACTTTTTTATTTGTACAGCAACCAAGCACTACTCAATAGGTTACTGCACATATTTCCCTTTATTTAGTTTTATCCTTTGAGACCAGAGCACTGGTACCCACATACACCAGCAGGTGGCAGTAGCAGACTGAAGTAACGCCAGTGCCATTCATACAAAAAAAGTATCAACACTGGAAAAGCCTTACTAACCCTGACAGAGCAGTGAACCAAGTTAGAAAGTCTGTCTCAGACAAAACATCTTGTATGAGTTTTATTGAAAGGATAAGATCAATGAGAGTTCAGGGTGGGTGAGGGATCATACAACTCTTGAGTATGTACGAAATAACTGATACCACATTATAAATGTTTTAATAGAATAAAGGGGCATTAGGAATTATTTCAAAGCCCTTAGCATGGTCACAGCCTCAAAAAGCATGATAACAATAAAGAGGAGACTGGATTTATACACCATCCTTCACTACCCGAAGGAGTCTCAGAGTGGCTTATAATTCATTTCCCTTCCCCTCCCCACAAAAGACACCTGAGAGAGCTCTACTGAGAACTGCCCTTGAGAGAACAGCTCTGAAAGAACTTATGACTGACCCAAGGTCACACCAGCAGCTGCATGTGGGGGAGTGGGAATTAAACCCAGTTCTCCCCGGTTGCCTCAGTTATAATTTTCCATTTTATCATCTTATGTAGGTTGGTTTACTATTGTCTGCGTTGCACAGATAAATCATCTTGATCCAGATTTATGATCATGTATCTGTACAAAGTCTGACTCCCCACTGAAAGGAACATGGCAATTCTTCTAATGAGGGGAGCTCCATGCTTAGAAATGAGAATATATGATGCTGTCATACTGAATCAAGCTAAAACAGACAAGACGCTGAAGATCCACAAATAGATCTTTAAGCAGCTTCAAGAGGGCAGTGGCAGCCACATGGACTGCAGCATCAGACTTGGTCGGTGCAGGAAACAGGACTTGACTCATTCTCCCCCCCCCCCCCGGGGGTTTCAACGCTGTCCCCTTCCTCTGCTGCTATTAGCCTCGGAGTGGGAAGGAGTGGTATAGAAGGGGCGCTTGACTCTCCCCCCCCTCCATCAGATTTCGGTGCAACTTAGGTGCAGACGTTCAACCTGGAACATCATGTTTACAATATAAGTTCTAAAACTTGGTCAGCCTCAGGACCCCGTTATCAGTTATAAATAATTGGGATGAAATATCTTGGGCTTTTTTTAAAAAAAAGTTGTGATGGAGAATAGTGTGAAATGCACCTTACAGACCTCACTGTGGAAAAGCATCACTTAAAAAATGTGGTGACTGGGGTGTAGTAACAAGTCTGAGAAATAATGAGATCTCAGTGTTTCTAGCCTGGGTGGCAGGAGAATCGGAGCCTGGGGCATCTAATGAGTGTGTGTGTGCGTGTGTGTGGTGGGGAACTTTTAGCTTGGTAGAGCTGAAAGAATCATGCTTCTCCCATCTTACACAAGTGCCACTGGGCCCAGAAGATACTATTAGGAGCCCTGAGAAAACTAATACAGAAACTATAAACAGTGGACAACAGGGTAGGCTAAATACATGTTTTAGCCCTTAAGCAGACCACTTTGGGCAACAGTGCGCCATTTTTCTACTTCCATTACAATAATTCGCAAGAGAGCACTGCCTTTTTGACTTAAAAGTGGAAACTGCAAGTAGAAAGTTGGATTTGGGAAGAAATGAACCAAGGAGTTGGAAGGAGGCTGTTTAATCCTAAATATGTTTATTCTGAAGGGAGTATCAGTAAGGTAGCATTAACTTGCTTCCTAGAAATGCATTCAGGAAATCAGCCTTGATTCCTAGATTTAGACTGGCTCTTGGATCCCGTGACTTCGTTTCCCTTGTGGAGCCCACTTCCTCTGCTGCTAGTGGTTCCATACGCACAAGATCAATGTTTTCCAAGAAGCTTTGATGCATACGGAAGTGCTAGTGGCAGAAGAAGTGAGTGCCTCAGCGGAGGAAAGCCTATGCAGTGTCTGGAGAGAAGCGCAAGGGGAATAGTTATAGGACACAAGATTTGATGTTAAAAAGGCTAACTTCCCTGTAATTCATTGATGGCCAATTTAAATGGTGAGACCTAAAATGACAGGAATCCATTTCATTTTGTAGGGTGGCTGTCAATCCCTTATGCTTTAGGGCATAGTGAGAGATATAAATATTTAACAGCTGGGTTGGATCCAGCCAGTTTTTCCTTTCAGTCTCTCCCCATACTCTTCCCTACCCAAATTTCCCTCCCTATCTCAGATGGCTTTTGTACATGCAGGTCCACGATTCCTAACACAGCCTTCCTGGGTGGACCCCTTCTTTTTTCACCAGCAGAAAAACTGGTTGGATCCAACCTATCACATTCCTATTACTTGGCCTAAATACATTCAATAGAAATACGTCTATGGGAGCAACTTTGTACATTGGCCAAACAATTGTAGACCTTGAAGATCATGTACCTGTTTAACCTGGTATCTCTCTTCTGTGCCCACTTCAGCAGACTACTGAACCAATGCAGACTAGTGATGAACGCGGGGGAGTGTCAAAATCCCACCTGCCCTCTCAAATTCCCAAGCCCGTGCAGTTCACACACCTCCACAGATTAAGCAGATGGCACTAAGCAGGCCTGTTTCCGTGTCATCCATTTCTAAGGGCAGGAGCTGATTGGCAAAGGTGAATACAAGGTCAGTCAGAGGACCAAATCCAGCGTTGTGCATCTGTGTTCGGTTCAGTGTAAGGCCGTCCGAAAAGGTCATAGTGTCTTGTTCTGGAGTGTATCTTGTGCAAATTCTAAGGATCTGAAAAGAACAGAATTAATTGTGAAGTGTCTGGTTATGTCTTGTGCACTCATGAAGCATTTATGGACACAGGGCTGGATACAGACAGGGTTTTTTAAAATTCAGGCTTCCCCAGTTTTCATTACTACAGCCCCCATCCCACATGGTTTTCGTTAACTCCCAGCACAGCCATTTCAGCTGCTCAAAGGCAACCCTTTCTTTTTTTTCTTTTTTTTTTACCAGTGGAAAAGCTGGATTCAACCCACAGTCTGTCAAAGGGGGAGCACAAAGGCCTTAAGACACTCAGCCAACATTATCTTGCTGGGCGAGTCTGGATTTTGGTGCAGGAGGTAGTGGAAGGAAGGCTGCCCATTCGCTTAAACCCTTAAATATGTTGCTTTGTCTATTTTCTCAGAGGTGGCTCTCCATCCAAGAATCCATAAAAACAAATCCCTTTTTTTCTGCAGCGAAACTGGATATGGAAGGGGTCCCCAATCTTGTTGAACTTATGGGCATATGTGGTACTTTGAGAATATATAGTGGGCACCATTACAAAACGGCTATGGAAGGCAGAAGAAATCTAAAATGGCTGCTATGGGGGCCATGGTCAATCATTAAACAGCTACCATGGGGACCAAGGGCATTCACAAAATGACTGCTAGAGCGTACTAGGGCCAAGCACAATGTCAAGAGGTTTCAAGCTAAGCATTATTATACAACAGAGGTAGTTGTTTCTGAACAGGTGTTTCCCTGCAGACCGAAAGGTGATGCCTCCAAGGTTCTTCTGAGATACCTTCAGCTCCAGTGATGTGGAAGAAACTCTGGATAGTGGCTATTAGCTCTGGGGGAAGAAGCACCTGGGCACCCGCTGGCAGTTACCATGGCATCCACGGGCACCACAACAGGGATCACTGAGCTACAGAGTGTGACGATGGTAGTGAGGGTATTCTGACATCCCCCTCCACCTACTCTATTCTCAAGATTATAGGTTCATTTCTTCCTTTTAGACATACCTTTGGAAAACTGGCACAGACCATCAAAAACAACAGTTACTTCTATCTTGGCCAGCTATTCATAAACTCTTACTGAGATAAAAGAAATGATCAGTTCTCTACAGCTTTTCTTTTGGGATATGCCCAAGGAGAGGGTGCAGTGAAAAACAATGTCCAGAGAAAGTGATAGGGGTGGTTGCTCTTGCTGCCAAGACCTGCCCGCATTCAGGAAACATCAGCTGCCTCTTGTTACTACTCGGGAAGAATGTGGCCTCCTTGGGTTACACACAACAGACCCCATGCGCTTACAAGGAAACTGTGGACTATTCCGATGCAAGATCCTTTCTCTAATTTTGCCCTTGCTCCAATCATAGACTTCAATCTGGTTTTATCTCGCAAGGCAAACAGGATGCTTTCTTGCTGACTTATTTATGAACAGCAGGAGCAGAGCAAACAAACCCTAGACACACAGAGGAGTCTGCCGCATTCATTCATTCATGGTATCTCAGCTCAGCTACGATTTCAAAACTTCTCACTATTCCGTTCTGAAACAGACAAACAAACACAACTTGAGTTGTGCTTCCTGCCCAAGCAGCTGGCTTTGCCTTAAAAGCAATTGAAAAGTTTAAACAAATGCAGCCCAATGGAGAGAATTTTTTCAGGGCAACTGGAAAGCCTTCCTGATGTTATTCCACTTAGTCAGCTTCTGACTAGCATCCAGGCTGCCTCTTTTGCTCTCAGCTTTTTCTGGGCAGGAAGTAGAGAAGAGTCTTGGGAAAGAAGAAAGGAAGGGGGGGGGGGGACCCCGGCCCACAAGCACTGACACCTCTCTCTTTTCGTGTTGTAAGAGATGACTCAGCAGAATATTCAACTTAATATTAAATATTAAATATTAAACTGATCACACACTTTTTCTTGTGTGACATAACTTTTTGTTAGGAGTGGCCCAGGTCCCACCAATCATTTCCACTGTTGGGGAGGGGGGGACAATTTTCACCAACTCTGCCCTCCCATGGCAGACCTTCAACTCACTCCTCACGCTGCCCCTGAGGGTCTCCCATCCTCTGAGAGGAGCATTTTTTTGTGGACCGTCTGGGCTGCAGTGGAAGAGGGGAGGCAAAGAAGACTTCTGCTGACAGAAATGGAAACCTAGGTTTGTGTTAACGTTTCACAAACGGAACAGAAATCGTTGGCTCGAGAGAAGCATGCAGTCAAATATTTGGTAGTAGCAGCAACAAAACACCATCTGTCTACCCCTTGCTCCTTCAATGTATTTGCGTCCCAATCCAGCAGTTCGTTCCAAGTGTAGAAACTCTGTGAAGAGCTCACAGAAGCCTGAGATCTAGGGAACCATCTGAATGTACAACACGCTCTTGCCTGGGACAACTGACCACAAGGCTGAACTAAATAGAAAAATTGCCAAAACGTGGCTGCAAGAAGGACAGGCAGCAGAGGATAAGACTCACACTCCTGGGTTTAAATTAAGGGTGGGAAAGTACCGGTTGGATATTAGGGAAAACTTTTTTTACAGTCAGAGTTGTGCGACAGTGGAATCAGCTGCCCAAGGAGGTGGTGAGCTCCCCCTCACTGGCAGTCTTTAAGCAGCAGCTGGACAAACACTTGTCAGGGATGCTCTAGGCTGATCCTGCACTGAGCAGGGGGTTGGACTAGATGGCCTCTATGGCCCCTTCCAACTCTGAGATTCTGTGATTCTATGACAAGTTGGTCCCCACATTTCTCAGTGCTTCTAACAATAAATGTTCTTTTTTCTCAGAAAGAAACACTCAATTTCTAAATTAAGAGGAGAACACAGCCTGAATCTCCTCTTTCCCAGCTTTCTCCTGGGTTAGAGGGCTGACAGTTGTAAGAAAATTTCTACTTAGATTTACTGGCCACAGAGAAAACTGCTTTCTCCACTTCTAGCCAATATACTGAATTCAATTCAATCAGGTTTTTCAGAAGAGTATCATTTAACTTCTCAGATCTGAAAACTGACTTATCAATAAATCCTTCTTGCACCTGTCAGCTTTGCCTTCTTCTCATTCTGCGGTGTAGCCTTTCTCTTCTGAGTGACAGTCTGCAACCCAGAACACCAAGCACACAGTGCACTGCCAACAGTGGTGCACATGTTTATACAATGGAGGATGTTGTTGTAAGCAGCTTTGGGTTCCCACTGGGGGGAAAGGTTTCCCTTGCTCAAAAGCCAGTCGAATCCGACTCTAGGGTTGCAGTGCTCATCTTCGTTTCCAAGCCGAAGAGCCAGCGCTGTCCGAAGACGTTTCCATGGGCATGTGGCTGGCATGACTAGATGCCGAGGCGCACGGAACGCTGTTCCCTTCCCACCGAAGCGGTACCTATTTATCTACTTGCCGTTTCTTGCTTTCGAACTGCTGGGTTGGCAGGAGCTCACGCTGTCATGTGGACTCGGGTCACGAACTGCTGACCTTCCAGCCTGCAGTTCAGTGTCTTAACCACTTGAGCCACCACAGCTCCTACTGGGGGGAAAGGCAGCATACAAATGAAGTAAATAAACGATGTGCCTGCTTTTGTGCACATGCAGAGCATCACCACTAGATGGCACCTGCTGTTCCTTCCGTTTTTACCACAAAACCACATTTCCCAATGCCACTGTTCTCAACCAACTTTCCAAGGCTTTCAGAGGTCTCAACAAATCCATAACTGCTTAAGCTGGAAGGTACCTTCACAACTACTTTACCAGCACAGAGGAGCTGAAATTACTCGTAATTAATTTTTTACAGCAGGAGGACTTTATGAAAGCGGGAAAAGCTGTGCAAACTTAATAAAAGGAAAATACTTCTCATTTTAGAAAGTTGCATGTCAAATTGCTAGTCTGCTCGACTACACAACAAAAGAATCTACAGTGGCAGGGCAGTGTTCGAAATAATTTTCAGAACCATTTTAAAGGCAGAGAGGCATTTGTTGAATTTACTGGGACAGCCCAAGGGAATTGGGGGGGGGTGTGTGTTGCTTTTCCTGCTAGAACCATGTGACACAGAAATAATAATAATAATTTTTTAAAACCTGGGTACTTTGAGGTGCATGTGCAGCAGTGATGTTGTGGATAAAGTCTGCTGGTTGCTGAGGAATAAGGCTCTGGGCTGCAATCCTATTAACATGTACCTAGCTATAGAGGCACTTACCCTACACCATTTCAGGAGGACTTCCTTCCACAGGATTAGGTTGCATATTTTTGCAAATGTTGTACAATGTTGCACTGTCCCTCAGGCAACACTGACAACGTAGGCTTGTGAAAAGTCACTTCCTTGATCACCTGTGGTAAACAGCAGTTGTTTCCAGGTAGGGATGGCTTCATACAAAAGAGGGAGCGGGTTGTTCTCCCCCAACCCGTTTCTTTATATGCTACCAACGAGTAACAGGGATGTATGGGAAAAGTGGGCTAACTGTAACTCCTGGGAGACGTGTCTGCAACATTGAGATGGTATTAAATTATGAAGAAGTTTCTTCATCCCTAGGTAAAGAAACAAATGTCTCTCTGAAAATCATTCTGAAAACTGTTTTGCCATCTGCCCCACCCATGTAAATCTATTTGTGGTCAAGCAATTTGATGTGCTAAAATGAAAACAACCTCTCTCTCTCTCCCTCTTGCTCTTTTACACTTTAAAAAGTAATTTTGGCTTCAATACCTTTTTCTTCAAGAGAAGTCACATTCCTGGACACCAAGTTCTGGTTGTCAGGCTATGCTCACGTGGAAGAAGACTGCATCGGTAGCCAGAAGGTTTGACTATTTCATTGCGCTACTTCCCCCCACATCCTACTGATTGGCTACTGAAGTTTTAGAGAGGCCATAAATTCAACTAAACAAGGGCTTCCTTCTGACTTGCTTCCATGCAGGAATTCCCCCCCCCAAAAAAAAGGATGAGGAAAAAGGTATGCCTATCTCTAAAACAGCGTTCCGTGCGCCTTGGTGTTCAGTCATGCCGGCCACATGACCACGGAAACGTCTTCGGACAGCGCTGGCTCTTCGGCTTTGAAACAGGGATGAGCACC